GATAAGAAATGTACTTAGGCTGGAAGGTGGCTCAGTGGTAGAGTGCTTGCCTTGCATGCATGAGGCCCTGGGTTCGATTCCTCAGCACCACATAAGCCAGAAGTGGCGCTGTAGCTCAAGTGGTAGGGCACTAGCCTTGAGCGAAAGAGCTGAGGAATAGCACTCAGGCCCAGAGTTCAGCCCCCATGACTGACCAAAAAAAAACAAAAACAAAACAAAAAAAGAAATGTACTCATTATCTTGCCCATGTAATTGTAACCCCTCTGTACAGTATTTTCACAATAAATTAAAAAAAAAGACTAAAATGAAAGGGAACCAGATTTAGTAGCAACACCCTGTAAAACCTAGCACTCAGGCAGCTAAGGCAGGAGGATCATGATTCTAGGTGTTGAAGATCAGCCTAGGAGAAGTGGTGCTTTGGCTCAAAGTGGTAGAGAACCGGCTTTCAGCAAAAAAGAGCTCAGGATCCAGGTGCCTATGGCTCATACCTGTAATCCTAACTACTCAGGAGGCTGAGATCTGAGGATGGAGGTTCGAAGCCATCCCAGGCAGAAAAGTTCCCATGAGACTCTTATCTCCAACTAACGACTCGAAAACTGGAAGTGGCACTGTGATTCACGTGGTAGAGCACTGACCTTGAGCTTAAGAGCTCAGTGACAGTGCCCAGACCCAGAGTTCAAGCCCCATGACTGACAAAACAAAACAAACAACAACAAAAAACAATAAACACCTCTCCCTCAAAAAAGCCAGAAGTAGAGATCAAAGTGGTAGAGCACTAGCCTTGAGCAAACAGAGCCCTGGCCCTGATTTCAAGCCCCATGGCTGACAAAAATAAATAAAATAAAATATAATAAAAAGGGTTGGAGGGGCTGGGAAGGTGGCTCAGTGGTAGAGCGCTTGCCTTGTATGCATGAGGCCATGTGTTCGATTCCTCAGCACCACATAAGCAGAAAAAAAAGCTGGAAGTGGTGCTGTGGCTCAAGTGGTAAAGCGCTAGCCTTGAGCTGAAAAGCTGAGGGACAGTGCCCAGGCCCAGAGTTAAGGCCCACGACCGGACCCAAAAAAAAAAAAAAGGGTTGGAAATATGGCTTAGTGGTATATTGCTTGCCAAAGCACGCAGGAAGCCCTGGGTTCAATTCTTCAGTACTACATACACAGAAAAAGTGGTGCTGTGGCTCAGGTGGTAGAGTGCAAGCCTTGAGCAAAAGAAGCTCAGGGACAGTGCCCAGGCCCTGAGTTCAAGCCCCAGAACTTAAATAAATAAATAAATAGTTGGTTGGGCTCTGGTGACTCACACCTATCATCCTAGCTACTCAGAAGGCTGTCTGAGGACCATGGTTCAAAGCCAGCCCAGGCAGGAAAGTGTGTGAGACTCTTTCCCCTCTCTTCCCCCCAGAACTGAGGACTGAACTGAGGGCCTTGCACTTGCCAGGCAAGTGCTCTTCCACTAAGCTAAATCCCCAACCCCTCCATGAGACTCTTACCTCCAAAGAACCACCAGGAAACCAGAAGTGGTGCTGTGGCTCAAGCAGTAGAGTACTGACTGTGAGCTGAAGAGCTCAGGGACAGTGCCCAGGCCCCATTCAAACTCCATGACTGACAAAAATAAAGATAACTGCCAGGCACTGGTGGCTCACGCCTGTAATCCTAGTTACTCAGGAGACTGAGATCTGAGGATCATGGTTCAAAGCCAGCCCAGGCAGGGCAGGAAAGTCCGTGAGACTCTTACCTCCAATGAACTACCAAAAAACTAGAAGTGGTGCTGGGCTCAAGTGGTAGAGCGCTTGCCTTGAGCTGACGAGCAAAGGACAGCGCCCAAGCTCAGAGTTCAAGCCCCACAACCGACAAAAATAAATAAATAATAAAAAAGGCAGCTATAGGGTCTAAGGGTAAATCAAGTTCCAACACAGGAACCCCTGGTAAGAGGAACACATTCTTTCTAGTAACAGATTCTTCCCTCACAATAGACCCTGAGTGGGAACTAAGTCCCCACAGATAGGAAACCTATAAATCCTTCCGAGAACTAAGTAGGGTCAGTCTTGAGCTAAAGGAGAAACAGTGAAAAAACTCAGAGCTTAACCTCCAAAACTAGGGTTTGGGTCTGAGGAAGAGTATAAGGAGTGACAGAAACTGAGTTTCCCACACAAAATCCTAAGAATGGCTGTTTCTACCCCCCCCAGAGCCTCTAACCTTTGTGTTCCCTTCGGCCTTTGCCGGTGACACGAGAGAAGTCCATGCGGGGAGTCCGGGGTGTGGAGGTGACAGATGAGGGGGGTGCATCCACTGCCTTGGAGATCTTGGACACAGAGGCAAAGAGACCTGGGGGAAACAGAGTCTGGGCTAGGTATCATCCAAGCCTCTGCCCACCCCCTCCACCCCATCCCCATTACCCACACAGAACCCTCAGCACAGTTGAGTGGAGCACCCCCACACATACACACCGGCCAGCTGCAGGTCCTACTGACCCTGTTTGGGAGGGCAGATGAAGTACCGGACGCCCCCAACACTGCCATCATTCTTGCCCTCTGGTTCGTCCAGCTCCACGCCCACCCACTGGCCGCTGGCGAACTCTGTGGTGCCACAGAACCGCAGAGTTCCCGTCTGGAGAGAGAAGGGGAAATCCTGATTGGAAAATGGTGCTGGGTCACTCACACACAGGAAGCAGAAGATTCACCAGCACTAGGCATTGTTTTTTTTCTTTGCCTAGGGAGGCCCTGTACCTTTGATCCTCCTACCTATATTTTGCTAACCTTTTGCCCAGGCTGGCTGATCTCAGTCCTCCTGATCTGGGATTACAGTCATGTACCACTAACCTGGCTGAAAGACCTTTTGTGTTATTGTGTGTGTGTGTGTGTGTGTGTGTGTGTGTGTGTGTGTGTGTCTGCCATGGGGCTTGAACTTAGAGCCTGGACTCTATCCCTGAGCTCTTTTGCCCAAGGTTAATACTCTACCACTTTGAGCCACAGCCCCACTTCTGGTTTTCTGGTGGTTAACTGGAGTTAGGAGTCTCATAGGCTTTCCTGCCTGGGCTGGCTTTGAACCGTGATCCTCAGATCTCAGCCTCCTGAGTAGTTAGGATTACAGGCATGAGCTACTGGTGCCCAACAGACATTTTCCCCCCCTGTACTGGCGCTTGAACTCAGGGCCTCACACTTGCTAGGCAGGGACCCCACCAGTTGAATCATGGCTTCAAGCCCTTGGTTATTTTCAAGGCGATATCTTGCTTTAGGTTCAGCCTGCTTGGGTTGCAATCAATCTTCTTGCATGTGGGGAACCACATCTCTGGGGCTGACAGGTCCCTCACCCAGTGCCTGGTTAAGATGGAGTCTCAAAACCTTTTTATATCCAGGCTAACCACAAACCAACTGCTGGGGATGGAACCTGAGCTTTGTGCATATCAGGCAACTGCTCTAGCACTGAGTTACACCCTCGATCCTTAATTCCTTGTTTAGGAGAGGGGCTAGCTGGAGTTGGGGGTGCAGTCCCAGTGGAGCTCTTTGAGAGCAGAAATAGGTCTGTTATAGCTGTGTCCTTAAGAATAGCTTAGACTCAGCAGGAAGCTTGAAGGATACCAGGCAAATAAATGAGAGCAGGTAGGCCTAGATGAATGAAGATGCTCTTCACTCTTACATCAACTCCCCCTCCAGAGAGCCTTTCTCTTCCTAGGTCACTTCTCATCTTCAGGGGTGCTTCTCCATCACACCCGCAGGGTACTCAAAGTCCTGACTACTCTGAGTGTCCAGATAGAGACTGATTGATAAGCACAAGGCAGGGAGAAACCATAGGTAACCAGATCACCCTGTGGTATCTCAGCCATGATTGCCTGGGCTGTTTCTGTTAGGGAGAATTCTTTCCCCTCTGGGCCAGAGCTCTGCACTGCCAGGAGGCACAAAGGAAGCATCAGTGACTGGTAGGCAGGCAAAGACAGTCTCTATGAGCCCATAGACCCAGTTCCTAGGGTTGACAGAGCCATCTGCCTCCTTCCCACACCCCAAGTCCCTGACCTTCTGGCCATCCAGCAGCACACGGTCTCCCAGGCGCAGGCCCAGTGCGCTGAGCATGAGATTTCCTGGAACGTTGTCATAGTTGGGGAGTGTGACCTTGGGGAGGGCACAAGACAGCGGCACAGCCTCCTCCAGCAGTGTTCGCAGCTCCTTGGCCACCAGCGCAGCCTCTGCTTTGTCAAGGGACATGTCCATGGGGTCCGGGACGACTTCAGCTGGCACCTGTCCCTTTCGGTTCTATAAGCCAATGGGAAGACAGCAAGCTGGGATTCAGTTGCATAGGACACACCTCTATGGAGGCCCAACCCCATCATTCCCAGTCTAAGGGAAGCAGGGGCCGCAACTAGATTATATCCTAAATCCACATGAGAGTTGGCCCCACAAGGGGGAGGGCATTAAGGGACAACCCCTAGGGAAGGCCACCCATCCCTGTGAGCCTGGGCTAGGACAGGTCACAGAATTGACCTTGGGGATGAGGGTGGAACCAATAAAGGGCCATACCTGTAGGGTAAAGGTATGCCTACAATGGGTTATGGTTAATAGGGGTGGGGTGAGCATCTAGAAAGTGCTGCTTTGCCAAGGTTCAGATTCAAACTCTGAACTAATGGGGAACAAGAAGAGGGCAGGCACTTGGGAGCATCAGCTACATCCCCCAAGATATACACGCCCCAGATGTTGAAGTCACTGGCATTGGGGATGGGACCCGGTAACGGAAAAATCAGAGTCAAAGATCAGTCTGAACACTCATAGAGACTCAACCCTGTCAATTACTGAAGGCCTAATTTTGCCTTCCTCATGGTTTCAAAACACTGTACAGGGGGGAGGCTGGGAAGGGATGTGAAGGGTAAACCAAAGGAGGAGGCTGCAATGCTTGGTAAGAAATGTACGCATTATCCTGCCCATGTAATTGTAACCCCTCTGTACAGTATGTTCACAAATAAAATTAAATTAAAAAAAAAACACTGTACACAGCCACTGGGGATACTCCTTGCTAGCTGACCCTGGGTAAATCCTCCATTTCTCTATTGTACAGCAGGGCTTATAATACACTTCACCTGACATAGAACTGACGCTGAGTCAATATCAGCTATTATTTGTTAGATGTGCCGATGGGGTTTTGTGACATTTTAGAAGTTGAGAAATGCTAGTGGTCCTTGTCCTCTCCTCTGTAGAGGCCAGCCGAAGGGAAGTGAAGGCCGGGGAGAAGGGGAAAGGGGAGGAGGAGAATAAATGAGGCCTGGGTGACTGTACCCTCAGTGCTGGATTGGCACCGTGCTCCAACAAACATTTGGCCGCACCCAGACACAGGTTCGAGGCAGCAATGTGCAGGGCTGAGCCATGGTTGAAGTCACTGCATGTAGAGTTCACCACTGGGGAGGATAAGAGGGGAAGAAGGTTTCGAAGTGTTCCACTACTGCAGAGTCTTGCCCCCTACCTCTACACCACGGCCCTCAAGTCTAAACCACGCCCCTTTCTTCCTAACACCAACATTGGCCACGCCCCTTCTTGCTCCCACACCCATTTGTCCCTACCCCGTGCCACCAGACCACACTGTTTCACACTACTCATCTACAGATTACACCAGACTACTCTCATCCAAAGACCACGCCCCCTCGTCAGCCTCATGCCTAGACCACGCCCCCATGCCTCAATGAGACCACACCCATCACCAGCTTTACTCTCTAGACCATGACTTTTCTCTCCTCTCATCTTTAGACCACACCCCCTCATCCCACTCTCATATCTAGGCTACGCCCCCACCCATCATCTCTAGACCACGCCCCAACCATTCACCATCTGTAGACCACGCCTCCTCGTCACACTCTAATCCTAACCACGCCCCTCCCAGCCTATCATCTCTAGACTCCGCCCACACCCATCCTCTCTAGACCATGCCCCTCCCTGCCATGCTCTCGAGACCACGCCCCCTCACCCAACCAAATCCTAGGAGAGGGGGGCGGGGGGTGCGGGGGGGTTGCCAGGCACCTCGCAGGCCTCCAGGTCCAGCTCCCCCTTTTCCTCGGATGCGGTCCCCTCTCTCAGCCAGGTTTCTGTCCTCACCCTCCTCTCCTCATCCTCACCCCGATCTCCAGGTCTCCGCCTTACTCACCCAGGTCCTCAGCCCCCCACACTGGGTGTCTTTCTCCTCCTTCCAACCCTGCTCACCCCGGGGCCTCGCGCCTTTCAGCAGCACGCGGACGAGGTCCGGGACATCGAAATAGGCCGCGTAGTGAAGCGCATTCATGTTGGTCCAGCGGCTTCGCAAGGTCACATCGGCGCCCAGGGCCAGCAGCTGCTGCGAGAGGCGCACAGCCGCTGCGGGGTCCCCTGCACAACAGCTGGGGTCAGCTTGGGAGCTGTGCCAAGCGCATGGGGAGGGAAGAGGACCAGATGGTGGTGGTGGTGGTGGTGGTGGTGATGTGGGGTCCAAGGGCCTGAGTTCTGGGTGGTTTTGAGGGTGTCAGGGTGGGAAGCCTAGGCTGTGGGGCTGGGGCCCTTACCAACTCCATGGGCCCCAGCTTTGCATGCATAGTGGAGCAGGGTCATGTCCGTGAGCCCATCACGATCGTTCACATGGCAGCCTCGACGCAGGATCTAGAAATACCAGGGAAGAGGCGAGGGTTACCCAAACAAGTGGTAACCAGAGTCCCCTCCATCCCTGGTCCCCCTAGGACTCCTACCTCATTGCCGATGACATCTATCTTGTGCTGGACTTGGGGTACCCACTGGCGAACAATGGCAAATAGTTCTGGGATGGTTGTCTGTGGGTCAAACAGAATCTCCTGGCATGCCGGGTCATTGGGATCGAAGAAGGTGAAGGCTGAGGTAGCGAGAGTTCTAAGGTCATTCCAGGCAAGCTTGACCTTTGCCCCCACCCCCTACTTGCTTCCCCATCTAGCCTGAGAGAGGGTGAACTCTAGGTTTTTGCCCTTAAGAGCCTCTAATGCAAAGTTTCAATCAGGTGGTACACAGGCAGTAGTCCACCCATAGGCATTTTCTATGTGTCCAGCAAGAGGTTTCCCTCCCCCCTCCCTCCCTCCCTCCCTCCCTCTCTCCTCTCCTCTCTATCTTTTGTCAGTCCTGGGGCCTGAACTCTGGGCCTGGGCATTATCTCTCAGCTCTTCAGCTCAAGGCGAGTGCTCTACCACTTGAACCACAGTGGCACTTCCAGTTTTCCAAGTGGTTTATTGGAGATAAGAATCTCATGGAGTTTCCTGCCTGGGCTGGCTTTGAACCGTGATCCTCAGATCTCAACCTCCTAAGTAGCTAGGATTAAAAGTGTGAGCCACCCAAACACAGCTCTTTTCAATTAATTAATTTTTTTGTCAGTCGTGGGGCCTGAACTCTGGGCCTGGGCGCTGTCCCTTAGCTCTTCAGCTCAAGGCTAGTGCGTTACCACTTGAGCCATAGCACCACTTCCGGCCTTTTCTGCTTATGTGGTGCTGAGAAATCAAACCCAGGGCCTCATGCATGCAAGACAAGCACTCTACCACTAAGCCACCTTCCTAGCCTCTTTAATTTTTTTTAAATAACAAAAAGCCAGTAGTCCTAGTTTTCAATACTGTTTTTAACTTATATAAGATATACCTATGAATAAGCAGGATCCAACCTACAGTCAGCCAGGCTGGTGCCAGTTGCATTCTATCTCCCCTCAATTAGACTCTGATGAGAACTGCACTCTGTGGCAAAGTCAGTGCCCAGTAGGGGCCTGGCACGTGGTAAAAACTAAGTAGTGTACGGAAATGAGTAAATGAATGATCAGATCACACTGAGCCTAGGGTAGCACCACACAGAACCATGCATACTCTGGCCCCCTTGCTTTTCTGTCCTCTCCCTTACACTGGCCTATTTTTGTTCCTTTCAATGTGCCAGGCAAATTCCAGTCCCCTTTGCACTTGCTGTTTTCTCTCCTGGATAGTCTTCCCTCAGATATGCCACAGTCTTGGCTCAAAAGTCACCTCCTCAATGAGGTCTCCCCATAACACCAGGTCTAAATCAGCACCTCTGTCCTTCATCGGTTACTTAACATTGTGTATGTGCACTCGTACACACGTGCACACGCACACACGTGCGCGCGCACACACACACACACACACACACACATGTGAGCACATCAGTCCTGAGGCTTGAACTCAGGGCCTACGCTCTGTCTCTGAGCCTCTCTGTGCTAAACCCTAACGCTATCACTCTATCACTTGAGCCACAGCACCACTTCTGGCTTTTTCTGGTAGTTTATTAGAGATAAGAGTCTCACAGACTTTCCTGCCAGGGCTGGCTTTGAACTGTGATCCTCAGATCCCAGCCTCCTGAGAGGCTAGGATTACAGGCATGAGCCACCAGTGCCTAGTAACTGTCACTTTAAAAAAAAAAATCAGGGGCTGGGGGTTTAGCCCAGAAGAAGGGCGCCCACCCAGCGTGCACAAGACCCTGGGTTCGGTCCTAAGCCCTGGAAAAAAAAAATCAGATTGAAATGAACTTGTCTCTCTAATCTAGTCCTGGTAAAGGGTATGTCCACAGATGACATCTCTCCTGCCCTATCTGCTTACTTGCTGAACCTCCCAGCTGCAGAATTCCCAGCCAGCAACTTCTTAAAATCGTCCCTCTTGAATCCAGTTCTGGCTGCACTCTATCTCTCTACCCAGAAGCCAGAGGGAGCTTTTAAAATATAAATCAAGCCTGCCACTCTTATGCTTTTAGATCTGCATGCACACATGCACGTGTATACACACACACACACACACACACACACACACACACACACACACACACTGCTCTCCCCTGTCACTTCTAGAATAAAGGTATTCAAAGTCTTCAGTGTGGCCTGGAATTCTGTCCATTCCCTTAATGCAGCTCCATGCTCTTTCTACTCCAAGTTCAGTTCTGCCTCAGGCCCTTCACACTTACTGGTCCTGGAACTCTTTCTCCATCTCGTCTCTGATTTCTTCCTAACGTTCTGGGTTTCAGCCTAAGTGCCGAGCCCCACCCTCACCCTGCTTAGTGTCAAGCAGGACTCCAGTTATTATCTGTTACATTCTTACCTTCTATTTTTTCATAGTACTCCCTCTCATCTTAACTCGCCTAATTGTGTGTGTGTGTGTATATACACATGCGTGCACGTGCACATTCATGTGCCTGTACAGGGACTTGAACTCAAAGGCCTTGCATTCTTTTTTTTTTCCTTTTCTTTTTTTTTTTGCCAGTCCTGGGGCTTGAACTCAGGGCCTGAGCACTGTCCCTGAGCTTCTTTTTTGCTCAAGGCTAGCACTCTACCACTTGAGCCACAGCACCACTTCTGGCTTTTTCTGTTCATGTGTTACTGAGGAATTGAACCCAGGGCTTCAAGCATGCAAGGCAAGCCGTCTTGCTTGGCTTTTTCCACTCATGGCTGTCACTCTACCATTTGGGCCACACCTCCAGCCCATCTTTTTTTTGACAATTAATTGGAGGTAAGAATCTCTCTCTGGGTGCTGGTAGCCCAGGCCTATAATCCTAGCTTCACAGGAGGCTGAGATCTGAGGGTCACAGTTTGAAGCCAGCCGGGGCAGAAAAGGTTGTGAAACTCTTATATACAATTAACCATCAGAGGACTGGAAGTAAAGCTGTGGCTCAAGTGGTAGAGTGTTAGCCTTGCAAAAAACAAACAAACAAAAAACTCAGGAACTGTGCCCAGGCCCTGAGTTCAAGCCCCACAACCAAAAAAAAAAATTAAAATTAAATAAAAGTCTCTCAGATTTGTCTGCCTAGGCTGGCTTTGAATTGCTATTTCTGCTTCCTGAGTAGCTAGGATTACAGGTGAGAGCCGCTGGCACCGTTTCGTCTGATTCATTTGTTCACCCGTTCAGTTTTCCTCTCCTAAGTGCACAAAGCATGCCAGGATTGCTCCCTGTTCATTCCTCAGCACCTAACAGGGAGCTTGTCACAGGGCATTAGCACTTGACAAATGATTAGACACTTTCAGTTTCTCTGACATTCCATTCTCACCTCCTTCCACCCACCCTCCCAGATGAGACCCTTTACTGCTGTGGTAACCGGTCCTGGGTCCCCCCTTTCCAATCTTCTCTTAACTTGCCCTCAGGTCTCTTCCCTCCAGATGTCACCTCCCAAGGGGAACAACATCTGTCAGCACTGTGTTCTTGCAAACACAGTTCTCATCATGTCCTGGAATTATATATTTGTCAATTATGTTTATACTTAAAATGCCTGGCAAGGGCTGGGAAGGTGGCTCAGTGGTAGAGCGCTTGCCTTGCATGCATGAGGCCCTGGGTTCGATTCCTCAGCACCACATAAGCAAAAAAAAAAAGCTGAAAGTGGTGCTGTGGCTCAAGTGGTAGAGCGCTAGCCTTGAGCTGAAGAGCTGAGGGACAGCGCCCAGGCCCAGAGTTCAGGCCCCACGGCCGGACCCAAAAAAAAATAAATAAATAAAATAAAATAAAATGCCTGGCAATTATTGCAGCCTGTGAGTCCCCTCAAAGAAAAGACTGAACCTGTGTTGCTCTGTGCTGTGGCCTCAGCTCCCAGTATACATCTAGGGCCATAGTGGTTTGCAAAAAATGTTGGTTGGGTGCCAGGCACAGGTGGCTCATCCCCGTCATTTTAACTACTTAAGAGGCTGACTCTGAGGATCATGGTTCAAAGCTAGCCCGGGCAGGAAAATCCATAAGACTCTTAGCTCCAATTAACAACCAAAGAGCTGGATGTGGAGCTGTGGCTTAAGTGGCAGAGTGCTACCTTTGAGTGAAAAAGCTAAGGGACAGCACTCAGGACCTGAGCTCAAGCTCTAATACCAACACACACACACACACACACACACACACACACAGAAATGTTGGTTGAATGACTAAATGATTGAATGATGTGCCATGAATCAAAGGTTAGACTTATTCCCATTCCATTTTCCCATAGGTGAATGAAATTAATGAAAGGGGAGGGGCATGGTTTAAAGAGCTCTGCAGCTAAGACTCCTCTACCCTGCCTTCACAATCCCCCCCACCATCACCACCAGCAGAGCTGGGGCCAGGGGCACCCAAAGGCTTCAGGCCATACTCCAGGATGGGGGAGAGGAGTTACCGTAGTCCTTAGGTAGGGGGGCAGGTGCCGACGGGTGCACAACAGGCTTCTGCCGGCGCTCCTGGGTGGGGCTGGGGGCTTCGGGGATAGGCTCATCCTCTTCCTCTTCCTCTTCCTCCTCCCCTCGGGGTGGAGGACCCATTGGGGCAGGATCTGTCTTAGTCATGGCCCTAGGTGGCCCTGGAGGGGGGGGGCAAGTGGAAAGTTGGGGGGTGGGGTGGGATGGCCTGCCAGCAAATCCTAGAGGCAGATATCGGCTAGCAAGGGTCCAGAATCTGAGCCCCTCAAAGCCGTCAGCGCCCCCAGAAGACCACACCACCCCCCACTCCAGATTATGGGAAAACCACAGGGACCCCCATTATTCATCAAAGGGGCCTAAGGATATGTGCTCAGCTCCTGCCACCATCCCCACCCAAGGCCCAGCCCCCCATTCTTCTCCAAGCGGAGTCAGGCCCCTCTTTCTCAGCCGCCCCCCTCCCGAGAGGTTTGTTTATCTCGGGATGCAGGATGCTTCGCCCCTCCCCTTCTCCAGGGCCTTCCCCCATCTCCCCATCTTACCTGGTGTGGACCGTTGAAGACTTTAAAGCGGAGGATGGAGGAGACCGCGGGAGTCAATGGGGTGTCAGCGTCTTGGGACGCGACGGTGGAGGAGAGGGAGACAGAGAGAAGGGGACGAGGCCCAGACGCTGCCGAAGATGAAGACGGGGATGGGGGAGGAGGGAGGGGCACGCACTGCGCATGCGCGGACGTGCCAGGCGCAGGGGTGGGGGGAGAGGGGCGGTGTGGAGGGAGGGAGGGCGCTCCAGACTTGAGAGGGAAGGAGGAAGGGAAAGAGGGGGGAAGGGAGAAAGGGAGGGAAGGAAAGAAGGAAGGAAGGGAGGGAGGGAGGGAGGGAGGGAAAGGAGGGCCGGCCATTGCAGGAGAGAAGTGAGAGCCCATTCTGTCTATCCGAGCTGAGCTTCTCCCCCCACCCCGAACCAGGACTGCAAATCAGACCAGTTAGGGCAGTGGTCTTTGAGCTCTTGTCCTATAATCGCGGTCCCACTGCAGTGGGTTAGGCTCATCATCATCCTAGCCCTTGGCATCACCATCCATTGATCACCCAGGGCTTATTCAGGCCCAGGCACAGGTTAAGATGCTCGCACAAAAGGGAGCACAGCAAGTAGGTGATAAAGCTAAAACTTTGAGATCTGGTAATCTGTTGAGTATGTTTTTGTTTGTGCAGGCGCTGGACTTGAACTCAGGGCCTGGGTGCAATCCTTTAGCTTTTTTTTCCCCTTAAAGCTGGTGTTCTACTACTTGAGCCACAGCTCCACTTCCCAGTTTGGGGTGGTTTATTGGAGATAAGAGTCTCATAGACTTTCCTGCCCAAGTGGCTTTGAATGATGATCCTCAGATCTCAGCCTTCTGACTAGCTTGGATTACAGGTATGAACTACTGGCACCTGGTTGGCTTGACTGATTCCTTTTTTTTTTTTTTTGACTGATTCCTTTTTTTCTTTTTTTCCCCTTCCTTCCTTCCTTCCTTCCTTCCTTCCTTCCTTCCTTCCTTCCTTCCTTCCTTCCTTTTCTTCCCTTTCTTTCTTTTTCTTCCCTTTCTTTCTTTTTCTTTCTTTTCTTTCTTTCTTCCTTTTCTTTCTCTTTTGACCATCTTGAGCCTTGAACTCAGGGCCTGGGTGCTGTCCCTGAGCCTCTTTGTGCTCAAGGCTAGCATTCTACCACTTGAGCCACAGACAGCATCACTTCTGCTTCTGGCTCTTTCTGAGTAGATTGGAGATAAGAGTCCCAAATACTTTTCTTCCTGGGCTGACTTTGAACTGCAATCCTCATATCAGCCTCCTCAGTAGTTAGGGATTACAGGTGTGACTATGGTTCTTTAGCTTAAGGCAAGCGACTCTACCACTTGAGCCACAGCACCACATCTGGTTTTCTGGTTGTTAATTGGAGTTAGGAGTCTCACGGACTTTGCTGCCTGGGCTGACTTTGAACCGCTACCCTCGGATCTCAGTCTCCTGAGTAGCTAGGATCACAGGCGTGAGCCACCAGCACCTAGCATAACTATGGTTCTTAATCACCAAGTTACATAGCTGTCCAGAGGAGCCTCTTAACTGCCAGATCACATGACTGTGGCAGCGTCTAGGGTTCAGGTCTGTCAGTGGACTCTGAGAACCTCTATCTCCCCCAGGAAGGCCTTCCTGGAGCCTACCCAGGGCCCTAGCTCTACCTCATACCTGAGCCAGCTGTTGCCTGCTCTGTCTCAAATCTGGCCTGGTTGATCCAAATGTATATTCAGTAGCTCCAAGGTATTTCCAGAATTGCACCCCCTAACACACAAATTCCTGGCCCATATTTCACCTCCCATTTGGTCTATCCAGTCTCATCAGGATCTGGTAAGGCCCCTGGTCTTCTCGGGGCCCTTCTCCACTCAGAAGTATAGCTGGACATACAAAGCTTCTTGATGTTCCACACCCCAGGGCCTTTGCACTGGCTGTTCCCTTGCCTGGAAGCCCCCCCCTTCCTACCCCCAGATACCCATGCAGTTCCATCTCTCTTCTTTTGGGATTTTATTCATCACTGCCTTTTGGGGGACATCTCTACTCTCCCTAATGAAAATGGTATGGCTGTCCCACCTCTTCCTACTTTGGTTTGCCAGAACCATTGTGCCCTCCTGATTCGGACATCCTGCATCTTCTGCAGGGCTGGTTTTGTCCTGGGCCACTGGCCCACGTGGCCTCTGGCTCAGCGCCTTCTCTCGCCATCCAGGACTCTGATCTCCTTAGAGCCTCCCTCCAGTCTCCCTGTTACATCATCACGCCAGCTTCTAAAAGCACTTATTACCGTCTGCCATGATGTGCTTTATTCATTGACTAGTTTGCTATTTTGTGAGCCCTGTGTGGGCAGGGAGGGGTTTTCCACTGTGTTCAATGCCAGGTTCCCAACTGAACAGCAGGCCTGGCCCACAGCATCACCGGTTCTTCAGAACCAGGTCCAGGACTCCTCCAAGTGACCCTTGTTCAGCTCCTAAGGTCATTTTCCTGACTGCAAGGACTTGAGCTGGGGATGATGGCAGAGGGGTTAAATAAGGGTTTCTTTGATTCTGGTTTCCTGTGAAGATTCTAGGAATGGAACCCAGACTTTGGGAGAGCACTCCCCCCCCACCCCATGCACTGAGAGTCTGATGTGTGGAAGCTCAGGCTAGCAGGTGCAGGGCCTTGGGCAAGGAACCACAGCTACATCAGGTCCTCCATAGATGATGGTGAGGGTTGAGGAATCCTTCGGTTCAGGCAGCTGGGCCATCCAGGCATGAATTAGTAGAAATAGGAATATGGGGTGTGTGGGGGTAGCACGGAGGGACAGGGAGGCAGGGGGTGTCAGGAAACAGAGGTGTGAGTAGAGAGAAGATAGCATGACAGAAGCCGATGAGAAAGCAGGACATTCAGGAGAGGAAAGACATGCCGGGAAATGGATGTGGGTGGTGGCCATAGGAGGGTCAGCAGTGGAGGCAGACATGAAGACAGGGAGATGGAGGACCCAGAAAGGTGCAGATGAAGACACAGAGAGATGAGAGGCGGGGGAGATGGGTGGAAGGACAATGGCTGGAGATGGGAGACAGAATGAATGGAATGAAGGAGTGGGAGACAAGGATTGAATGGGGGGCGGGACGGTGGAGAAGAGAAAAACAGTCAGCCCAGAGTCCCAGCTCCACTCTTCTGGGCCCTAGGGCACAGTCTCAACATCCTTTCTCCCTCCCCTTCACCTCCCCAGGCCACACTACTATTCCAGCTAGCTGCTGTTGTTACCTGATAATATGAACCCAAGGCTACTAGATATCTTGGGCTTTTATTTTTATTTATTTATTTATTTTTTGGGTCCGGTCGTGGGGCCTGAACTCTGGGCCTGGGCGCTGTCCCTCAGCTCTTCAGCTCAAGGCTAGCGCTCTACCACTTGAGACACAGTGCCACTTCCGGCTTTTTTCTTTTTGCTTATGTGGTGCTGAGGAATGGAACCCAGGGCCTCATGCATGCAAGGCAAGCACTCTGCCACTGAGCCACCTTCCCAGCCCACTTGGTCAAATTTTTGTTGTTGTTGTTGTTGTCGTCAATTGTGGGGCTTGAACTCAGGGCCTGGACACTGTCCCTGAGCTTTTTTGCTCAAGGCTAGTGTTCTACCACTTTGAGCCAGAGCGCCAGTTTTGGTTTTCTGGTGGTTAACTGGAGATAAGAGTCACCAGTGTCCAGCTCAAATTTTGATTTTCACATTCCTTCTCCACTAAAACCAACCCCACAGTATAAAACGGGGGAAAGAGTTTTGGCTAGGGCCTGGGAAACCACAAACCTGAGCTGTGTAGGACCAGGCAGAGAGGCTCCAACAGAAGAACCCCATCTCCTTGGCAGGCCTCCCTTCCCCGCCCCCCCACCTGTGTTTAATTCCTACCTGCAATTTATTGGCTGCCCTGTAATTGAGCAACTTACTGGGCAGGGCTTGAACTCAAGACCTGAACTTTTTTGCTGAAGCCTGGAGTTCAACCACTTGAGCCCCAGCTCCACTTCTGGCTTTTTGGTAGTTCATTGGAGAGAAGAGTCTCACGCACTTTCCTGCTCGGGCTGGCTTCGAACCGTGCTCCTCAGATCTCAGCCTCCTGAGTAGCTGGGATGACAGGCTGGCCCCCGGCTCGCCTGTCTTTACAATGGGGGACAACGGCAGTATCGTGATCGGTCTGAATTAGCGAAAAGGTCCTGTCTGGCAGACAACAAGAGGTCTCTGCGTGTTACTTTTCCGAAATGTCGTTATTCATCAATGAGGCGGTCATGGCCCATTCCCACCAAAGGTGGTCTGGCCTGCGCTCTGCGGGTTTCTTTCCGCGGTGCTGGGGGATCGGCGCGTTGCCTGGTAAGCCCTCACGCCCGCGGCACACGCCGGGCCCAGGGGCCGCGAGGGGTGTCCAGCAGCTGTCTGCAGGAAGAGACCTGCGCTCGCCCCCGTGCGGCGGACCCCGGTGCGCATGCGCACTCATGCCCCCCAACCCCCGGTGCGCATGCGCACTCATCCCCCCACCTCCCCACCCCGGCGCGCACGCGCACTCACCCGCGCGCGCTAGCAGTGCTGCTGCCGCGCCCGCAGCTCCAGCGCCGGTGCCGCTCGTTGCGCCGCTGCAGCCTCTGCACCCGCATCCCCCAGCCTAGCGCCGCGGGAGGGGGTGGGAGGGCCGGGGGGGGGGTCAAGAGCACGGCGGCATCGGGACCATGCGCTGCACCGGCTCGGAGGTCGTGCCCGGGGGAGGTGGGGCGTGTGTGTGTGTGTGTGTGTGTGTGTGTGTGTGCGCGCGCGCCCGGGGGAGGATGGTGGGCACCGCGTCGGGCCGCACGCCCCAGCGTCACTGGAAGCAGGAGGGTGCCAAGTGCTCGCGGCCCCGGCGCTGGTGGCGGCCGGGCACCCAGTGCTCGCGGCCCAGGCCGGAAGCCGTGGGCCGCCCTTCAGTGGCAGTCTGCAGTGTGGCTCCGTGGCCGGGTCAGCGCCCCACCTCCCCACTGAGACCCCTGGGCTCCAAACCTGTGCCTCCTCTGGGCTTCCGGCCCAAGCCTTCCTATTTCAGACTCATCACATTGTTGGGCTCCAGCTGCTTAAATCAGCAGTGGCTCCTCTCCCAGTGGCCTCTTTGGCTGGCCTTTGCCCACAGCTCCTTCTGGGCTCCCGTGCCCACTTGCTCCCCACTTCTGTTGGCTTCTGAACGTGAAACCAGACATCTAGAATTTGAGAAATCCTACAGTTCTCCCCCCCCCACAAAAAAAAAGAGGAGGTAAAAGACAGGTGGAATTATAGGTTGAGATTTGAGAACCATTAACATACAGACACAACAGAGAGCTGGTCTTGAATGAAAAAGAAACAGCGCCCAGGCCCTGAGTTCAAGTCAGTATTGGCATGCGTGCACACACACACACAAACACACACACGGATCTTGACAGGTTGCCCCTAAATGCCACAAGTATTCTGAGCAGAGGAGGACATGTAACCACAAAAACCATACTACCATAAAATGTAACCACAACTGCACTGCTGAGATGTGGCCCCAAACCAAGGAATGCCTGTGGCTACCAAATTGCAAAGGGCAAGGAAGATCTTCAGATTCCCATTCTTCCTGGTCCGTGAAAACTGATGTGAAGTCTGGCCTCCAGAATTGAGAATATTTCTCCTGTCTTAAGCCACCACTTAATAACAGCAGCCATAGCAAGCAAATACCATAATCATTAGAGAAATAAGAACAATTGGCAGGCTGGGAAGGTGGTTCAATGGTAGAGTGCTTGCCTGGCAAGCATTAGGCCCTGGGTTCAATTCCTAAGTACCACATAAGCAGAAAAAGCTGGAAGTGGTGCTGTAGCTCAAGTGGTACATTGCTAGCCTCGAGCTGAAGAGCTGAGGGACGCGCCCAGGCCCAGAGTTCAGGCCCCACGACCAACCAAAAAAAAAAAAAAGATAAAAAAAGAACAGTTGGCTACTCACCAGGCTACTGGTATGCTAGATGTGGTGGATAGATGCATATAGAAGGAGCAAAACTTCTCAAAGAGGGACAGCTGGTCAGCTAGGAGAGAAAGGCTTACTCAGAAAAGAGTGTGGCACATAGCCACATTGAACACATAGCCAGGGAGTCTGGGTGTCTCAGTCCCTTCAGAGCCTCTGGGATCCAAATGTCCTCATTAGCTCTATTGTTTCTGGACACAAACATTGGACTTATTGCCACAGCAATCCCTCCCCTTCTGCACCCACTCCTGAGCAGAGCCTGCCAACTGCCTACTCCATTATCCACTCTTGTTCCTTACTAATGTAACTTCAACATGTATGTGTTCTGGGGCTTGAACTCAGGACCTGGGCACTATCCCTTCCTTAGCTTGAGCAACAACTCTATTTGCAACTTTTTTTTTTTTTGGTCGGTCGTGGGCCCTGAACTCTTGGCCTGGGCACTGTTCCTCAGCACTTCAGCTCAAGGCTAGCATACTACCACTTGAGCCACAGCGCCACTTCTGGCTTATTTTGCTTATATGGTGCCCAGGAATCGAACCCAGAGCCTCATGCATGCAAGGCAAGCACTCTACCAGAGCCACCTTCCCAGCCCCATCTACTTGCAACTTTTTGCTATTTAATTGGAGATCAGATTCACAGATATTTTTCCCTACCTGCTGGCCTCAAAATTTAATCCCCACATTTCAGCATCCTGAGTAGCTAGGATTACAGGTGTGAGTCACAGTCATCAAGGGAAATTATTACTATAAAATATTTTGTTAACTCTTCAGCTGACCTTTTCTTTTTGTTATTCCTTTTTTTTACAGTTCAAGCTAATTCTGATTTTTTCAAGTGTAAAAGAACATAGAAAAGAATAAGGTTTTTCTATTTAGCAACAGGAAAAGATGGAGCTAGCTTGTGTACTAAGACAAGAAAGACTGAAAGGCTGGGGGCAGCCAAGGTGAGTTCAGTTTCATATCTTCTGAGTTTTGCATGGAGGTGGCAGTTGCGGATGGAACCTGGACTCATTTCACTTTCTTTCCTTTTTTTCTTTGTCAGTCGTGGGGCTTGAACTCTGGGCCTGGGCCTGGGCGCTGTCCCTCAGCTCTTCAGCTCAAGGCGAGTGCTCTATCACTTGAGCCACAGTGCCACTTCCGGTTTTCTGGTGGTTTATCGGAGATAAGAGTTTCATGGACTTTGCTGCCCGGGCTGGCTTTGAACTGCGATCCTCAGTTTTCAGCCTCCTGAGTAGCTAGGATGACAGGAGTGAGCCACCGGTGCGCGGCTTAATTTCACTTTTTCTCTACATCCTTCTCATTCTTTCGATCATTCTTTTCACTACCTGTAGTTAGTCATCGAGATCCGCTGTTTGTCACACCTGCGCCTTTCCCACCGCCCGAACTAAAACCCTGATGCTGGACAGCTGCATTTGCCTCAGGCCCCGCCCTTTCCTGGACCGCCCCGCCCCTCAAAAAAAAAAAAAAAGCTCCTCTCCGCGCATGCGCTCACATGTAGACGCTCCCCGGGCGGTCATCCGCGCCCACTCGGCTCGCAGTGTTGGAGCAGCTCGGGGCTACGCAGTGTTTGGGCATGACGGTCCAACCCCCGGTGTGTTTTGCTCTATCCTCGGGCTCCGCCGAATCCTAACCCACCCCGCCCGCGCACTAGCCTGCCTGCCTCACAGGACGTCCGGGGGGGGGGGGGGAAGGGGAAGGGTTCGTCACGTGATGAGGAATGGCTGCCTGCGCCTGCGTGGTCCGATTCCTAACAACAGCTGCTTCCTTGTCACGTGGTGGCGGAGGGTTAAAGCGAATACAGCTGTGCAAAGCCGGCTCCACGCTACTCTCACTTTCATCCTGTGTCGGGGGCGGGGTGAAGGGGCGAGGTGTCCTTCCTGCGCCTGCGCCAACCCAGCCCACGAGCCCACAGTATCCTCCCGACGCCGCCCGACGCCTACATCCAGGCGAGTGACACAGCGCAGATTGTCGCTCAGCGGCAGCAGAAGGCGTGGTGAGGATTCGTAAACGTTTCCTAAAAGTCTCCTAAAAGCTAAGGCCTGTGGTCTCAGTGAATGAGGAAGGCTAGGCGAGCAACTCCATGACACTTGGTGAAGCGCCCAATGGCCCACCCTCCACTTAGCCCCGCCTCCCAGCCCCTCCATTGGGCATAAGCGCACCCGGCAGCCCCGCGATTGGCCAGACGAGTGTTCCGCCGCATCCAATCGCCAGCGACACCGGCTTTCCCGCGGCCATTCGCTTATTCGAGTGGGTCGTGGTGGCTGCGGCGGTTAAGGCGTGTTAACGGTCGCTGGTTCTCCGGCTGCAGGATGGCAGCCTTAGGGTCCGGAGGCTACACGCGGAACGATGCGGTCGAAAAGCTGCCATCTGTCATGGCGGGAGTTCCGGCGCGGAGAACCCAATCCTCCCCACCTCCCGCCCCACCGCTTTGCCTCCGGCGGCGGACGCGACTCGCGACGGCGCCCGAGGACACAGTGCAGAACCGGGTGAGGAGATGCTCGCCCGGCCTACCTGGTTCGGGGCAGGCCTCCCAGGGCCGCCCCTGGTCCCGCCCTCAGGTCCTTGGCCACGCCCACCCGTCCCTCCGTCCCCTCTGGTTGTTCCATGGCCCCGCCCCTTTGATAAAGGCTCCTCCCACTTTCCCACCGCCCTGCTCCGCTCCGGGATTGTGCTTCCTTTCCGGTTCCATCCTGAGCATTGGAGCGTTCCCGGAGTTCTACCCCGTCGGAAAGCGCTTTGCTTTTGCAAATCTCTGCCCAGTCCCACCTTTAGACATTTCCCAAGTCCTTCCACTTTTTTTCTTTTTTCTTTTGGTCCGTCCTGGGGCTTGAACTCAAAGCCTGGGTTCTGTCCCTGACTTCTTTTTGCTCAAGGCAAACGCTCTACCGTTTTGAGCTACAGTGCCACTTATAGTTTTCTGGTGGTTCATTGGCGATACAAGTCAAGGACTTTCCTGCTCAGGCTGGCTTTGAACCGCGATCCTTAGAGCTCAACGTCCTGAGTAGCTGGGACAACAGGTGTGAGCCACCAGCGCCCGGCCCTCGTCTGTTTTTAAACAGTGGATAGAGCTGCACCGTGGGTGCTAAAGGGAGATGAAATTGTAACTGTACCCTTTCTGGTTCAGAGTCCAGATAAATGATGGCTACATGGTAGCTGCTAATGGGTTATGTTCCTGTTTGGTGGGTTTTGCGGCCTCTGATTGTATCGCTCACTCCTGGCTGCCGATCTCTGGACAAAGAGGGTCTTTCACCTTTCGGGTTGTACCTTCCACGTCTTGCGTCTCACCAAGATTCAGTCATACTGGCCTGCTTTCTGTTTTCCTGAATTTTCGAGTGCGTTCTTTTCCCTCCTAGGCTTGGTGTTTGGTGAGTTCTCTGCCTGGGCATTTTGCTGCAGGCGACCTGGCTGGCTTCTTGCTATCCTTCAAGTCTTAGCCAGAATATTCCTGCTCAGAGAGGATTTGTTTTTTGAGCCTGTACTGGGCTTAAACTCAGGGACTGAGTGCTGTCCCTTAGCATTTTCACTCAAGGCTATCATTCTATCTCAGCTCCACTTCTGGCTTTTTGCTGGTTAATGGGAGATAAGAATCTCAGAGATTTGCCTGCCCACACTGGCTTTGAAACCACGATCCAGTTTCACTTTCATTATTATATCTGGGACAAAGCCATTTGTTTATTTTTCTTGCTTAACTGCACAGAGACAAAATCTAGATTGATTGAGTTACATTTACTTATGCTTGGTAATGCAAATGGGCACATAAAACAGCCTGAGTACCATTGCTTGAATCTTACACTTAGGAATGAATAATCTTTCTAGGCCTCTATTTCTTCTGAAATGTGGTGATGATATTGATATTGATGATAACGATAATGAGATACTGATTGCATAAGGTTATTGTGAATATTGAGTAATTAATAGTTACTTCTGAAAAATGTACTATAAACATTAGGTCTTGTATGTTTATGTAATATATATGCACCATGAACACTAACTTCTGTATGGCTTGCCTTTTAGTTGTGAGGTCAAAGTCTTGCTTGAGGATGGTTTACTACAATAATTAAGAATTTATTTAAAATGTGAAATGCCACAATTTTGTTTATCCATACTACATATAAGTTTTTACTTCTACCATGATGGATGTGGCATAATGTCCTGTGAGAGGTTTTAACTTTTTTATTTTGGTACTGGTACTGGGGCTTGAACTTGGGGCCTGGGTGCTGTCCCTGAACTCTTTTGCTCAAAGCTAACACTCTACCACTTCAGCCACTGCTTTCATGTTCAGCTTTTTTGTGATTAACTGGATATGAGAGCCTTTGTACTTTTCCTGCCAAGGCTGGCTCTGAACTCAGATCTCAGCCTCCTGAGTAACAACTTTTTAAATGTGCCTATCTTTTTTTTTCATATTGAATGCTCTAGACATGAATTTGATGCAGGAGCAGTGTCTGTCTTTGCTCACTGTTATGTCTTCCCTGCAGGGCTTTTGCATCCTGACTACCTGGGTTTGAATCCAGCTTTGCTGCTCCCTAGGTGCAGGCCTCAGTGTCCTCATCTGTAAATGGGGGTGATTACAATGCTTTCTTCCCAGGGATGTGGTGAGGATTCAAGTCTTCCATCCATTTGAATCCATTGATTTGAAGGTCACTTTCTTGCTGTGACATCTCATTCCTCTAAACTCTCTCTCTCTCTCTCTTTTTTAATGCCAGTCCTGGGGCTTGAACTCAGGACCTGGGCACTATCTCTGAACTTCTTTTTTTTTTTTGGTCTGGTTGTGGGGCCTGAACTCTGGGCCTGGGCGCTGTCCCTCAGCTCTTCAGCTCAAGGCTAGCGCTCTACCACTTGATCCACAGCGCCACTTCCGGCTTTTTTCTTATGTGGTGCTGAGGAATTGAACCCAGGGCCTCGAGCATGCAAGGCAAGTTCTCTACCACTGAGCCACCTTCCCAGCCCCTCCCTGAGCTTCTTTTGCTAGCATTCTATACTTAAGCCACAGTGCCACTTCTGGCTTTTTCTGTTTATGTGGTACTGAGGAATTGAACCCAGGGCTTCATGCATGCTAGGCAAGCACTCTACCACTAAGCCTCAGTCCTAGCCCTACTTATTCTGGTCCTTTTCCATGTTCTCTCCCCCCATCATTATCAGCATATGAGCTCCAGGAGGATGGGGATTTTTGCCTGTCTGCCCCACCGCACTGCTCTTCAGCTAGCACTATATATTTCTCAGAGGAATGCTGTCAAAGGAACAGGTATTAGCTGCTGGTGTGCAGCATGACTACTGACATCAAGGACTGAGTGTTGAATGAGCCAAAATAGCACAGGTGACCGAAGTGACCTGCTGGGGCAGGCAGTTCTGACTTGGGCATTTTATTTGCAGGTATCACTTGAGAAGGTGCTTGGGATCACAGCCCAGAATAGCAGTGGTCTAACCTGTGACCCTGGCACAGGCCATGTGGCCTACCTGGCAGGGTAAGCACATGGGCCTGGGCACCTAAGCATCATGGGAAAATTTAGAGCCTGAAGTCACTGGTGAATCTTAGTGGGCTTCAGCTGACCCATCTGTAGAATGCAGGTAGTGCTGTCGCCTCTGGGGGCTGGGCAGAGGATTCCAGGGTCAATCTGGATCTAGAATATGGTCTTGCAGGTAGTAGGAGGTGGCAGATGATTCTGGGAAACTCAGGTGATTAAAATTCACTCAAGTTGGGCACCAGTGGCTCACACCTGTAGGATTTACAGCTCCACTTCCAGCTTTTTTTTTTTTTTTTGGTGCTTAATTGGAGATAAGACGTTCACAGACTTTCCTGCCTGGGCTGTCTGAACTTCAAACCACCATCCTCAGATGTTCAGATCGCAGCCTCCTGAGCAGCTAGGAAGACAGGTGTGAGCCACCTGAGCCTGGCTGATAGGGATTTTTGACACAGAATAATGCCCGGGCCCAGTGATCTCACACTCTCTGACTTGACACACATTTTCCTTTCTCCCCAGCTGTGTGGTTGTGATTTTGAACCCCATAGAGAACAAGCAACAGCACATCTTTAATACGGCCAGGTAGGCTGGGTCTTAGGGAGTCCACATGTGCAGAGGGAAAAGCAGGGTCCTTGTACTATGCCCACCCCTTTGGATTTGGTGTTGAAGAAGGAAGGCGTCTTTGCTTTTACCCCATTTCCCTGAGTGCTGTGTGTGGCACTCAGGCTGGGCTGGCTGGTGAGGAGCTGCTTGTACTTGTCTCCCGTGGTTCCTTCCCCGGCTTGGGAGCCAGGAGCGGGCACAGTGCTGAGAGCACAGCCACCTTCAGTGGGACCAGTGACCAACTCTTTATTTTTTTTTCCTCACCAGAAAGTCTCTGAGTGCTCTGGCCTTTTCCCCCGATGGGAAGTACATAGTGACTGGAGAGGTGAGTGGTGTTCACCTACTAAGCCAGTGGGGAGAGTCTTGGGCCATTCTCTTTGCTCCATCATTTCCAGGAGTCCCTGGAATGGCTTCTTCCTGTATCAGAAATGCCCTGTGGCTTGTTATCCTATCTACTCAGGAAGCTGTGATCTAAGGATAGCAGTTTGAAGCCAGCTTGGACAGGAAAGTCCAGGAGACTTTTTTATTTTTTGTCGGTCATGGGGCTTGAACTCTGGGCCTGGGCACTGTCCCTTGGCTCTTCATCGCAAGGCTAGCGCTCTACCACTTGAACCACAGCTCCACTTCCGTTTTTCTGGTGGTTTATTGGAGATAAAAGTCTCACGGACTTTCCTGCCCAGGCTGGCTTTGAACCACAATCCTCAGATCTCAGCCTCCTCAGTAGCTAGGATTACAGGCGTGAGCCACCACACCCGGCTTCTATGAGGTTTTTTAGCTCCAATAACCACCAAAAAGCCAGAAGTGGAGCTGTGGCTCAAGGGGTAGAGCACCAGCCTTGAGCCAAAAAGCTCAGGGACAGGGCCCGATCCCTGAGTTTAAAGCCCAGGTTAAGAATGAAAAACAACAACAACAAACAAACAAAGTAAAAACCCTGTGGCAAGTAGGGGAGGTAGTTTTGGGGTACACCCTTTGGCAATGCCAACTTCAGCCCTGACAGCCCCTCTAGCCCTGTGCCAGGCACAGATCCCAGCAGTAATGGCCCCACCTTCTCCAGAACGGGCACAGGCCTGCCGTGCGCATCTGGGATGTGGAGGAGAAAAGTCAGGTGGCGGAGATGCTGGGCCACAAGTATGGTGTGGCCTGCGTGGCCTTCTCACCCAACATGAAGCACATTGTGTCCATGGGCTACCAGCACGACATGGTCCTCAACGTCTGGGACTGGAAGGTGAGACCCAACCGGCACATGGCAGCACTTATGAGCCTCGGGCCTGGGGGAGCCACATGAGACAAGTTGGTTAAATGTTCGCTTAGCTCAGACATTTATTGAGCACCTATTAGTCCTTCCACCTTTCTATTGCTTTTTTTTCCCCCTTACAAGCTATAAGACTGCTGTTCCTGAGGTTCCCTCATGGCTAAGATTGAGTTCACAGCTTAGTTGTCAAGTGGGGAGCAGGGCACCATTTTTTGTGGGGTCTCTGATAGACTAGCATACTACTTAGTGGAGTTATCAGGATTGCTTTTTCATTAGCCAGCTGAAACCTTAGGTAACTTTAGTCTTTCTGTGAGTGTTTTCGTACCCGTAAAATGGCTATAATCACATTTGCCTCATTGAGTTGTGGAAACTAGCAGGTCGCCACAGCCCTGGAGGGGGTTCTGTGGGTAACCCCCACCCCCGGGAGTCTCAAGGCAGGAGCTGCCCCTGTGGCAGCCGTAAGTTCACTCCTTACTTCCAAGTTGTCCTTAGCCCCATGTGTGCACTGAAAAGTTTAGGGAGAGTTCTGGAGCTTACTCTCCCCTAGGACCTGTCCCTGTTGCCTGGTCTAGAGATGAGGAGTGACAGGAGTCACACCGGGTTTCCCCAGAGAGCTACTTTCTGCAGGGCCAAGGAAAACAGTGAGCCAGAGAGACCTGGGCAGAGAGCCCAGGCACAAAGAGTCCCACGGGGTGAGCTACTGGCCTGAGCAACTCTGTACTGATTCTTCCAGAAAGATATCGTGGTGGCCTCCAACAAAGTATCATGCAGGGTCATCGCCCTCTCTTTCTCTGAGGACAGCAGCTATTTTGTCACCGTGGGCAACCGGCATGTGAGATTCTGGTTTTTGGAAGCCTCTACTGAAGCAAAGGTGAGTTTCTGTCCCCTGCCACTGCATCCAGGCGCTGGGGGAAGTGACCATCAGCAACAGCATGGTAACTGTTTCAACCTGACCTGGGGGTCTGGGCAATATCAGCCCCTCCTTTGCCCCTGAACCCTGACCTCATTCTCCTCCCCCTGCTTTCCGGCCCTTGTGTCCAGAAACACCTTTTGTTATGCCTTCCTTCTCCACTAGGGGGAGTCTCAGCATCCTCCCAATTAGCCTACCAATGAGGCGCTAGACTGGACAGCATCTCACCATGCCCTGTTCTGCTCCCAGGTGACAGGCACCGTGCCCCTGGTCGGGCGCTCAGGCATCCTGGGAGAGCTACACAACAACATCTTCTGTGGTGTGGCCTGTGGCCGGGGCCGAATGGCAGGCAATACCTTTTGCGTGTCCTACTCGGGCCTCCTCTGCCAGTTCAGTGAGAAGAGAGTGCTGGAGAAGTGGATCAACCTGAAGGTGCATCCCCAGCCCCACCAGCAGTCAGGGAGCCGCTCTGCCTGTACCTGTGTCCCTGGGGTGCCCTACAGTGTCCCTGCTGAGGTTGGCCCCACGTGGCTGGGTGTGACCCTGAGCAAGGGCCTCCTCATCTCAGTTGATGAGAAAATCACCAGAGATGAGATAGGGATGTGGCTTGGTGGTAGAGCGCTTGCCTAGCATGCAGGAAGCCCTGGGTTCGATTCCTCAGTACCACATAGAAAAACCAGAAGTGGTGCTGTGGCTCAAGTGGTAGAGTGCTAGCCTTGAGCAAAAGAAGCTCAGGGACTGTGCCCAGGCCCTGAGTTCAAGCCCCAGAACTGGCAAAAAAAAAAAAAAAAACAAGGGGGCTGGGAAGGTGGCTCAGTGGTAGAGTGCTTGCCTTGCATGCCTGAGGCCCTGGGTTCGATTCCTCAGCACCACATAAGCAGAAAGAAAAAGCCAGAAGTTGCACTGTGGCTCAAATGGTAGAGTGCTAGCCTTGAGCTGAAGAGCTGAGGGACAGCGCCCAGGCCCAGAGTTCAGGCCCTATAACCGGACCCAAAAAAAAACAAAAACAAGTCACCTGAGATGATTAGCTTATATTAGGGGGATTCCATTGATACATTTCCACATTTACAATATATTCTAATTACTCTCACCCTTTCTATGGCTCTCCCTGCATTTTTTATTTTTGGCTAGTTGTGGGGCTTGAACTCAAGGTTTGAGTACTGTCCCTGAGTTTCTTTTCTTTTTTGGGGGGAGGCGGGGGGTCTGGTCATGGGGCCTGAACTCTGGGCCTGGGCACTGTCCCTCAGCTCTTCAGCTCAAGGCTAGCACTCTACCATTTGAGCCACAGTGCCACTTCTGGCTTTTTTTTTCTGCTTATGTGGTACTGAGGAATGGAACCCAGGGCCTCATGCATGCAAGGCAACTGGTCTACCACTGAGCCACCTTCCCAGCCCGTCCCTGAGTTTTTTTTACTCAAGGCTAGCACTTGGGATAGTGCTTTGAGTTCAAGCCTCTGGATTGGTGCAAAAAACAAAAGTGCCAAAATGGGCACCTTAGACCCAGAGAATTTTAAGTTCTGTCTGGAAGGCAAGGCCACTCTGCTCCATCCTTTCTGGGTCAGACCACAGGAGGTTCCAGATCCACCAGACCAGCCAGCCCCTGTCTCCCCAGGTCTCCCTGTCCTCCTGTCTCTGTGTCAGTGAAGAGCTCATCTTTTGTGGCTGCACTGACGGGATCGTCCGAATCTTCCAGGCCCACAGCCTGCACTACCTTGCCAACTTACCCAAGCCACACTACCTTGGCGTGGATGTAGCCCAGGGCCTGGAGCCCAGGTATTGCCCTGTGGGGAAGGAAAAAGGGGAGGGTCCCACCACCATTGCGCATGCTTCCAAATCCATCTGCCCATTGAGTCTTCCTACACTACTGATGACTCTTGGTCTTAGGTGTTATAGAGTGCATAGAGAAAGGTCCTACCTTCCCCAGGCCAGGTCCAGGCTGAGAAGCAGCTGAGAGTAGGGTGGAAAACACAAGCATAAAGAAAGGAATTTAAGATAGTGTTAAGTTCTGACAAGGAATTTGGAGTAAGCTTGCATGTGATGGAATGTGCTCCTCTATGTGGCTAACTTTTCTGTGTATGTGTGTGTGTGTGTGAGAGAGAGAGAGAGAAAGAGCATGCCTATGCATATACCAGTACTGGGGCTTGAACGTAGGGCCTTCCCCCTTGATCAGAGCTTTTTTGCTCATATCTGACACTCTACCACATGAGGCACACCTCCACTTCCGGCTTTGTGCTGGTTAATTAGAGATAAGAGTCCTCACAGATTTTTTTTTTTGGTCCGGTTGTGGGGCCTGAACTCTGGGCCTGGGCGCTGTCCCTCAGCTCAAGGCTCAAGGCTAGTGCTCTACCACAGAGCCACAGTGCCACTTTCAGCTTTTTTCTTTATGTGGTACTGAGGAATCGAACCCAGGGCCTCAGGCATGCAAGGCAAGCGCTCTACCACTGAGCCACCTTCCCAGCCCCTTACAGATTTTTTCTGACTGGCTTTGAACCACGATCCTCAGATCTCAGCTTCCTAAGTAGCTAGGACTATACTTGTGAGTCACCAGCGCTCACCTGTAGTCTCTTCTGAGGTGGACGAGCAGCTCCTGGAGTCTGTGCAACTAGGCCTTGTACGTTTGATCCATTGGCTGCCGTGTCCAGAGTAGAAGCCAGGCAAAGCTGTGGCCTGTTGTCCCCGTTGTTGTAGGCCTCTTTTTTTCTTCTTTTTCTTTTCTTGGTGCCAGTCCTAGGGCTTGAACTCTGGCTTGGGCGCTGTCCTTCAGCTCTTCAGCTCAGGGTGAGTGCTCTACCACTTGAGCCACAGCGCCACTTCCAGTTTTATGGTGGTTAATTGGAGATAAGAGTCTCATGGACTTTCCTGCCTAGGCTGGCTTTGAAATGTGATCCTCAGATCTCAGCCTCTTGAATAGCTAGGATTACAGACATGAGACACCAGCACCTGGCTTCCCTGAGCTTTTTGTTCAAGGCTAGCATTATACCATTTGAGCCAGAACTCTACTTCCAGCTTTTTTTTTTTTTTTTAACCAGTCCTGGGGCTTGAATTCAGAGCCTGGGCACTGTCCCTAAGCTTCTTTTGCTCAAGACTAGCACTGTACCACCTGAGCCACAGCTCCACTTCCAGCTTTTTCTGTTTATGTGGTACTGAGGAATCAGACCCAGGCTTCATGCATGCTAGGTAAGCACTCTACTACTAAGTCACATTCCCAGTCTTCCAGCTTTCTTGACAACTAATTAGAGATAAGAGTTTTACCCTATCTTGCCCAGGTTGACTTTGAACTGCAATTCTGAGATTGCCTTCTGAGTAGCTAGGATTACAGGTGTGAGCCACTAGTACCGGGCTGTTGTCTTTTATGAAGTGAGGGAGGGTACTGGACATGAGAATGCTGGGTGCTCAAAATGTTCTCCGTCAGGTAGGAACTTCCAGCTTGCAATTTCGACAAGAAGCCAAGGAGGAGAGAAAGCAGAGAGAGAAGGGAGTTGAAGTAGGAAAGATGAGCAGTAGCAAATACCACTAGGGATGGCACTGCCAGAAGCAGCTCTCGTGTCGCCAGAAGTGGCTCTTACTGCTCACAGTGATTGAGAATGACTGACCTCCCATGTGGCCTTGTCAGCTTCCTCTTCCACAGGAAGGCAGAAGCAGTCTACCCTGATACAGTGGCACTGACCTTTGACCCTGTCCACCAGTGGCTGTCCTGTGTGTATAAGGACCACAGCATCTACATCTGGGATGTGAAGGACATCAACAAAGTGAGCAAGATGTGGTCCGAGCTCTTCCACAGCTCCTACGTCTGGAACGTGGAGGTGAGCTCCTTCCTCAGGCCCGAGCCGCATGGACGCTGAGAGAGGATTTGATGTCTTCCTTTCCACTGGTTTAGTTATTTATTTATTTATTTTTGTCAGTTGTGAGAGTTGAACTCTGGGCTTGGGCGCTGTCCCTCAGCTCTTCAGCTCAAGGAGAGCGCTCTACCGCTTGAGCCACAGCACCACTTCTGGTTTTCTGGTGGTTTATTGGAGATAAGAGTCTCATGGAGCCGGGCGCTGGTGGCTCACGCCTGTAATCCTAGCTACTCAGGAGGCTGAGATCTGAGGATGGCGGTTCAAAGCCAGCCCGGGCAGGAGAGACCGTGAGACTCCTATCTCCAATAAAACCACCAGAAAACCGGAAGTGGCGCTGTAGCTCAAGTGGTAGAGCGCTCGCCTTGAGCTGAAGAGCTGAGGGACAGCGCCCAAGCCCAGAGTTCAAGCCCCACGACCGACCAGAAAAAAAAAAAGAGTCTCATGGACTTTTCTGCCCGGGCTGGCTTTGAACCATGATTCTCAGATCTCAGCCTCCTCAGTAGCTAGGATTACAGGCATGAGCTACCAGCGCCCAGCTATTTTATTTTTAATTACTTTTTTGGTGGGGCTTGAACTCAAGGCCTGGGCACTGGGCTGCTTTTGCTCAAGGCTAGTGCTCTACCATTTGAGCCATGGCTCCACTTCTGCTTTTTTGGTGTTTATCTGGAGATAGGAGTCATACAGATTTTCCAACCCAGGCTGGCTTTGAACAGCGATCCTCAGATCTCAGCCTCCTGAGCAGCTAGGATGACAGGCATGAGCCACCAGCACCTGGCTGTTCCTCTTATAGTTAACATGGAAAGCCTTGCACCATGCCTATTTGTCTTCATTTTGCTTTGTGTCACCAAAATGTAGCTGTATAGCACAGCCACGCCATCATGGGGGGGCGGGGGTTGGAAGGAGGCTATCCTTGGCCTTGTTCTTTGGAACTGTAGGTTTATCCTGAATTTGAAGATCAGCGGGCTTGTTTGCCATCGGGGTCTTTTCTGACTTGTTCCTCTGACAACACCATCCGCTTCTGGAACATGAACAGCGGCGGCTCCAGCTCTCAATGGCAGAGGAATATCTTCAGCAACGTGAGTGGCTTCATGGAGATCTCTCCAACTTCATTTAGGCCAGGACATAGAGGCAGACAGGAGTCTTGGGGAACCTGGATATGGGTCTTCCCTGGTCAGGGGGCCACAACCAGGAACTGGGGCAGTGTTCTTCCTCAGTGTCTGTCTCTCCTGTGGTCCTCTTTCCTGGGCTGCCATGGTCTGTCTGCTCTGGGTCTCTGGGTCTGGGGGTGGGGGTGGGGTGTGGATGCAGCCACTCCATGTAGGTCAGCATATGCAATAAGGATGAAGTTGCTCCCCAAGTCTCGAATGGGAACGGCCTGGTAGGGAATACCCCATGGGTGAAGTCAAAGGGACCTTCCCTGTCCAGGGACCTTCCCTCTGTGAGTGCTTCTGCTGAGAGCCTGGCACTGGCTGACAGGAAACAGGTTGCTTCCCAGCCCCTGGCCAGACTCAGCTCCATTGATCTACTGAAAAGAGAGAAGTGGAGATGTGGCTCAAGTTGTAAAGCACTAAAAAAAACCTCAGGGACAATGCCCAGGTCCAGAGTTCAAGCCCCAGGACCAGCACCAAAAAAAACCCTCACAGGGCTGGCAAGGTGGCTCAGTGGTAGAGTGCTTGCCTTGCATACATGAGGCTCTGGGTTCGATTCCTCAGCACCACATAAGCAGAAAAGGCCGGAAGTGGGGCTGAGGCTCAAGTGGTAGAGTGCTAGCCTTCAGCTGAAGAGCTGAGGGACCGTGTCCAGGCCTAGAGTTCAGGCCCCACAACTGACAAAAAAAGAAAAAGGAGTCTGGAGGAAACTAGTTCAGACTATTTTGGCAGCTCTCCAGGAAGCCCCTAGAAACCTAAAGTCCTTCTATCTTTCTATCCTGTTATTTGAGGGAGTGCTCTCATCCTCATGATCTAATGTGGTTGCTGAAGCTCCAGTCATTGCATTAGATGTTCCAGCAACAAGATGAAAGGAAGGCAGTGGACTGGTTCTCACTTGTGTTACATCTTATTGCACAGAGTTTACTCACAGACTTTTTTTTTTTTTTTTTTGGTCAGTTGTCAGCCTGAACTCTGGGCCTGGGTACTGTCCCTCAGCTCTTCAGCTCAAGGCTAGCACTCTACCACTTGAGCCACAGCCCTACTTCTGGCTTTATGTAGTGCTGAGGAATCAAACCCAGGGCCTCATGCATGCAAGGCAGGCACACTCCCACTGAGCCACCTTCCCAGCTCCTCACAGACATCTTTTTCTTTTTCTTTTTCTTTTTTTTTTTGTCAGTCGTGGGGCTTGAACACTGGGCCTGGGCACTTGTGCTTTTCAGCTCAAGGTGTGTGCTTTACCACTTGAGCCACAGCGCCACTTCCAGTTTTCTAGTGGTTTATTGGAGATAAGGGTCTCACGGACTTTCCTGCCTGGGCTGGCTTTGAATCACGATCCTCAGATCTCAGCCTCCTGAGTAGCTAGGATTACAGGAGTGAGCCACCAGTGCCAGGCCCTCACAGACACCTTATTGTACAGAGTTTACCTGCTGTCAGGTAGAGTGGAAAACAGTTATTATTCCAAGTGGTGAAGTTTCCGGCTCAAAGCTGGAGTTGTGGTACTGATGAAGAGGGGTGTCTGGCCGTGGGGTGGCCAGCGGTGCTTCTGTGTGCGTTGGAGCAGTAGCCCCCGCTGTCTCCTTCCCACAGACTCTGCTGAAGGTAGTGTATGTGGAGAACGATATCCAGCACTTGCAGGACACCTCCCACTTCCCTGACCGGGGCAGCGAGAACGGGACACCTGTGGATGTAAGAGCTGGCGTGCGCGTCATGCAAGTCAGCCCTGATGGCCAGCACTTGGCTTCAGGTGACCGAAGTGGCAATCTGAGGCAAGTGTGCACCTCCCGGCTCTCCTGGGGGCCTCAGGCCGCAGGGAGGAGCTGCCATGGGAATGACTGACAGGACCTTGGTTAGCAATCCTGTAGGCAGCTACTCTGGGGGCCTTAAGCTGGGAAGGGACTCCTAGATAGGAAGGCTCAAGTGAGGGTCACTATTGTTTTTGTTTTTTTGGTGCCAGTCCTGAGTGTTGAACTCGGGCCCTGGGCACTGCCCATGAGCTTTTGTGCTCAAGGCTAGCATACTACCACTTGAGCCATAGCTCTCCTTCAGGCTTTTTGGTGGTTGATTGGACATAAAAGTCTCAGGGAAGCTGGGTGCTGGTGGCTCATGCCTGTCTTCCTAGCTACTCAGGAGGTTGAGATCTGAGGATCATGGTTCAAAGCCAGCCCTGGCAGGAAAGTCCGTGAGCCGCTTCTCTCCAGTAAACTACCAGAAAACCAGAAGTGGCACTGTGGTTCAAGTGATAGAGCGTTCACCTTGAGCTGAAGAGCTGAGGGACAGTGCCCAGGCCCAGAGTTCAAGCCCCGTGACGGACAAAAAGAAAAAAAAAATAGAGTCTCGTGGACTTTCCTGCCCGGGCTGGCTTTCAACCACGATCCTCAGACCTCAGCCTCCTGCTAGGGTGACGCTGGCACCCAGCCCATCCTGGCCTTTTCTAGCAGGGCACCTGGCAGGTGGCGCAGGGGAGGAGGTATGGGCAGAGTACAGTGGGCAATGTGTCTGTTCCCCAGGATCCATGAGCTGCATTTCATGGATGAGCTGGTCAAGGTGGAGGCCCATGATGCCGAGGTGCTGTGCCTGGAGTACTCCAAGCCTGAGACAGGTAAGCCTGGGACTGGGCAGAAGCACGGACAGGGGTAACCTGAGGGACTGGGAATGCCGACCAGGAGCCCTGGGCTGCCTGGAACCTCACAAACAAGACACGTGCAGAAGGCAGGGCTTTGCGCAGGTAGATCATGTTGACCTCCGACCCCAACAAGGCCCATGCTGAGGAGGGAGTGGACATGAGGAGAGAACAAGAGCCCAAATGAGGTCAGCCTCTCCTGGAGAAGAGTGTGAAGGTTAGACAATAGTTTGTGCAAATTTGATGCTATCAGAGTCGTTGCAAGATTATTATAGATCAGTATGTGCTTATCTTCACCCAGCATCTGGCTCTTTTTTTTCCGCCAGTTCTGAGACTTGAACTCAGGGCCAGGCGCTGTCTTTCAGCTCTTCAGCTCAAGACCAGCACTCTATCACGAGCCACAGCGCCACTTCCAGCTTTTTCTGTTTATGTGATACTGAGGAATTGAACCTGGGGCTTCATGCATGTGAGGCAAGCACTCTACCACTGAGCCACATTCCCAGCCCTCTTTTTATTTTTGGTTCTGGGCCTGGGCGCTGTCTCTCAGCTCTTCAGTTCAAGGCAAACACTCTATTGCTTGAGTCACAGCGCCACTTCTGGTTTTCAAGTGGTTAATTGGAGATAAGAGTCTCATAGACTTTCCTGCCTGGGCTGACTTTGAACTGTGATCCTCAGCTCTCAGCTCCCTGAGTAGTTAGAGAGGGCCCGGCCCTCTGTTTTTATTTTTGTTTTTAATGGTACTGGGGACCTCGTACTTGCTGATTGAGCACTCTATTACTTGAGTCGCACCTCAGAGCCAAGTGCTGGTAGCTCATACCTGTAATCCTAGCTACTTGAGGATTATGGTCTGAAGCCAGCTTAGGCAAGAAAGTCTGTGAGACTTTTTTCTGTGTTTTTTTTTTGTTTTGTTTTTGCCATTCCTTAGCCTTGAACTCTAGGCCTGGCTTCTCTCTCTCAGCTCCTTTTCCTCAAAGCTAGTACTCTACCACTTGAGCTACAGAACCACTTCTGGCTATTTTTATTATTAATTGGAGATAAGAGTCTCATAGACTTTCCTGCTTGGGCTGGCTTTGAACCACGATCCTCAGATCTGTCTCTTGAGTAGTGACTAGGATTTTTTTTTTTTTTTGGCCGGTCGTGGGGCTGGAACTCTGGGCCTGGGCAAAATCCCTGCGCTCTTCAGCTCAAGGCTAGTGCTCTACCCCTTGAGCTACAGCGCCACTTCTGGTTTTCTGGTGATTTATTGGAGATAAGAGTCTCTGGGACTTTCCTGCCCGGGCTGGCTTTGAACCACGATCCTCAGATCTCAGCCTCCTGCATAGCTAGGATGACAGGCATGAGCCAGCAGCACCCGCCGTGACTAGGATTTTATAGGGGTGAGCCACTAGTGTCTGGCATCAGTCAGACTTTTTTTTGTTTGTTTTTTGTTTTTGGGTCCGGTCGTGGGGCCTGAACTCTGGGCCTGGGCGCTGTCCCTCAGCTCTTCAGCTCAAGGCAGCGCTCTACCACTTGAGCCACAGTGCCACTTCCGGCTTTTTTCTTTTTGCTTATGTGGTGCTGAGGAATTGAACCCAGGACCTCAGGCATGCAAGGCAAGCGCTCTACCACTGAGCCACCTTCCTAGCCCTCAGTCAGACTCTTTATCTCTAGTTAACTACCAGAAAACCAGAAGTGGAGCTTTGGCTCAAACTGGTAGCGTGCTAACTTTGAACACACAAACTCAGGGACACCATCCAGTTCCTGAGTTGAAGCCCCAGGACATACACACATACACACACTGGGTTTCACCTTCATATTGGGCTGCCTCTATCCCATGATCTTTATTCACATTTTACCAGTTGTCCCAATACTGTCCCTTAAAGCACCATGTTTTCCTAATTCAGGCTCACATTTGAGTTTTCTTGGCTTTTATTTATTTATTTATTTGCCCTTATTCTGAACATTTCCACAGTCTTGATTTGGCTTTGGCCTTTTGCATAACATAAGCCAGTTATGTGGATGAATTTCCCTCGGCCCCAACTCTGGAAGCAAAGCCCTGCTTCTGCAAGAATGGAGAGCAAAGTCATGCTGCTGCTCTGAGACGCCACGGCAGCCAGGCCTCCATTCGGAAGCAGGTTGCTTCTCTCCACTCACAGGACTAACCTTGCTGGCCTCGGCTAGTCGGGACCGACTGATCCACGTGCTGAATGTGGAGAAGAACTACAACCTGGAGCAGACCCTGGACGACCACTCCTCCTCCATCACAGCCATTAAGTTTGCTGGTGAGTGCCTTCCTTCCCCTGCCATGCGTTTTGTTCAGTGATTCTCTTGTAAGAAACAGCAAGAAGCCAGGCACAGTGGCTCATGCCTATAGTCCCAGCTACTCAGGAGGCTATGATCTAAGGATCGCAATTGAAAGCCAATCCCAGCAGAAAAGTCCATGAAACTATATCTCCTGTTAACCAGCAAAAAGCCATTAGTGGAGCTGTGGTTCAATGGTAGACTGCTAGCCTTGAGCAAGAAAAGCTCAAGGATAGTATCCATGTCCTGAGTTTAAGCCCCAAGACCAGCACAAAAAAAAGGGGGGGGAGGGGACTAGGGTGGAGGGAAAGAGGGAGAAAAATGAAGGAGGAGGTAACAAGTTAGACAAGAAATGTGCTCACTACCTTACTGATGTAACTGTAACCCCTCTGTATATCACCTTGACAATAAAATTAAAGCTAAAAAAAAAAAAAAAAGAATCCCCTGAACCTTAACTGGAAGGGACAGCTAAGCTTGGCATTCAGACTCAGCCGGATCCAAAGACTGGATGTTTTAGTGTTTTGTTTATGAAAATTAATGGCCATAGATTTTACTTACAAAGTGAATAGGAGCTGGGCACTGGTAGGTAGCTCATGCCTATAATCTATAATCAGGAGGCTGGGATCTGAGACTCAAGGTTTGAAGCCAGTCCAGGTAAATAAATCTGAGACTCTATCTCCAGTTAACTAGCAAAAAGCCACAGTAGAGCTGTGACTCAAACAGCAGAGCACTAGTTATGGGTGAGAGCTCCAGGCTCAGAGTCCAAGCTTCACTATTGGCACATCTAACATTTTGTGTGTGTGTGTATGTTGTGTGTGTGCGCGCGCACACGCACACGCACATGCACGCTGTGGTACTAGGGCTTGAACTCAGGGCCTAGGTGCTGTCCCTTACCTTTTTTTGTTGTTGTTGTTGCAGTTATGAGTCTTGAATTTGGGGCCTGGGCATAGTCTCTGAGCTCTTCTGCTCAAGGCTAGCACTCTTCTGCTTTGAGCCACAGTCTACTGGTTTTTGAGTGGTTCATTAGAGATAAAAGTCTCACAGGGATTTTTCTACCCAGGCTAGCTTGGCACTGTGATCCTCAGGTCTCAGCCTCCTGAATAGCTAGGATGACAGGTGTGAGCCACCAGCTGTCTTGATTGTTCTGGATGGTCCCTGCTGGTCCCTGTTATTCTCACCTCCCTTCTGCTGCTCGAGCCGCTCACCCCTGAACTCCACATTGAAGACAGTGTCTCGCTGTGTCCCACCTGTGTGCCTGGCCCTGTGTTGCTTGTTGAGCAGACCTGCCTGGCCTATATAGCTCCATTTGTGTCCCTCTCACACAGCTCCTGTCCCCCACTCCCACAGACCCTCCCATCTCACCACCTCCACGAAGGCTTTCTCATCCTGGCAAGGTTGACAGGTGGCCCTGCAGTGTATCACCTGGCTGGAATCCCCCCTTTCCCTACCTCACCCACACAGCGTAGCCTCTGACCCACAGCCCTTTTCCCACAGGCACGAGAGACATCCAGATGATCAGCTGTGGGGCAGACAAGAGCATCTACTTCCGCAGCGCCCAGCGGGTAGGGCGGGGCCTCCTTGAGGGCCGGGGGTCTGGAGTTTCTTGGGGGTGTCCTCAGAAGGTCTGCTCTGCCCTGCCAGGCCTCAGACGGACTGCATTTCATCCGTACCCACCACGTGGCAGAGAAAACCACCTTATATGACATGGATATTGACATCACACAGAAGTACGTGGCCGTGGCCTGCCAGGACCGTAATGTGAGGTGAGGGGCTACGCTGTACCCTTGTTGACCTGGCCCCGGCAGGTTTGCAGACAGGTCTGTCTGGGATCTGTCCCTGAAGTCTGGCCTTCTCCCGATCTCTCTGCTTTCTTCCACTGCTTCTATGATCCCTGAGAAACTGGGGCAGAGGGATTCAGAGGGGTGCTGGGGGTGGGTGGGGATCCAGCAGTGCTTCTCAGAAGTTAGGTTTCCCCAGGCTTAGCCACCAAACCACAGAAGACTTCTTCCTGGCTCTCCTGGGAACCTGTGTGGGAGCCTAGAAGGTCACAGATTCATCCACCTGCCATCCATCCCCAGGGCCTATCTGGGCTGTAGAGTACTGGGGTCACCACAGTGGCAGGGGCAGCTGGGGTCCTCCTTCACAAAGCTCAGTGCAGAGGAGGGGAGCAGTACCACCTCACCAGTCAGTGACAATACAGACTGGGCAGGTAAAGGAAGAGAGAGACCTCTGGCCCTGTCTGGGATCACTCACTTCCTAGAGGAAGGGACCTCGGCACTAAGCTTACTGGGGAACAAGAGAGGGGAGAAGGACACTAAATCAATGAATGCTCCAATGCATAACCTCTTTATCATCACCTCATTCAGGACAGGGCCTCTGTTCAGGCATACATTGGAGACAAGAGAAGGGAAAAGAAAATGGCAGAACCAGCCACCCATGGCTCACACCAGTCATCCTGGGTACTCAGGAGGCTGAGATCTGAGGCTCACAGTTCAAAGCCAGGCCGGGCAGGAAAGTCTATGAAACTCTTTTCTCCAATGAACCACCAGAAAACAGGAAGTGGTGCTGTGGCTCAAAGTGGTAGAGCACTAGCCTTGAGCAAGAGCTCTGGGACACCACCCAGGCCCTGAGTTCAAGACCCATGACTGATTAAAAAAAAAAGAGGGTGACAGGAGCCAGGGGAGGTGGGTCAGGGTGTGAGGACCCTCTAAACCCTACACTGTTCCCCTCCTCTTCTCCCAGGGTCTACAACACGGTGAATGGCAAGCAGAAGAAGTGCTACAAGGGCTCCCAGGGTGATGAAGGATCCCTGCTGAAGGTGGGTGGGGCCCCACATAGATACCCTGACACGGGGCCCTCCTGTCCTCACCCTGACCAGTCTGCACCCACTCACACCTGAGCTCCAGCTCCAGGGCAGCAGGGTGTGAGGCGAGCACAGAGAAGCCAGGTCGAGTCTCTGACTTCCCCACACCAGACACAGGACAAGGTCAGGACTTGTCAGTACTTCTGGCCCCGGAGAGTTGTTCTGAGTTCAGGCTCCAGCTCAGCCTTAGGCTGTGTGCCCTTCTGTAGGCTCCATCCTAACTCCTTCCTGCTTCTGGCTTCTGTCCAGGGATGGCTCTGTGGAGAGATAAAGCTTGTACACATTCCATGCTTAGCCCTCGGCCTGGGGTGCTGGTTGTAAATTTTTTCACATGAAAAATAGGGGTGTAAATTTCTTCATATGAAAAATGGAAGCTGAAGTTCATGTTCTACTGGTGTGTGTGTGTGTGATTAAGGAGCCTGGACTCATTACCATTGCCAAATATCTATCATAAAAGGAGTTGTACAGGGTGCTGGTGGCTCATACCTGTAATCCAGGTTATGGAGGAGGCTGAGATCTGAGGATTGACTTTCAAAGTCAACCTGGGCAGAAAAGTCTATGAGAGTCGGGTGTCGGTGGCTCACGCCTATAATCCTAGCTATTCAGGAGGCTGAGATCTGAGAATCGCCCAGGAAAGAAAGTCCGTGAGATTCTTATCTCCAATAAACCACCAGAAAACTGGAAGTGTTGCTGTGGCTCAAGCGGTAAAGAGCTCACCTTGAACTGAAGAGCGCAGGGACAGCGCCCAGGCCCAGAGTTCAAGCCCCACGACTGACAAAAAGAAAAAAAGAAAAAGTCTATGAGTCTTCTCTCCAATAAACTACCTCACAAAAGCCAGAAATAGAGCTGTGGCTCAAGTAGTAGAGTGCTACCCTTGAGCAAAAAAGCTATAGGACAGCACTCCGGCCCTGAGGTCAAGCCCAGGGCCAGCACAAAAATAGGGGAGCAAGGTTGTTAGGGGGACTGGGCTGCTTGGCCCAGGGCCTGGAAGTCGGGTGGTGTAGGCAGCCTGAGTGGTATGTGCATTCTTCCTCAGGTCCAGGTGGATCCATCTGGCACTTTCCTGGCCACAAGCTGCTCAGACAAGAGCATCTCGGTAATAGACTTTTACTCGGGCGAGTGTGTTGCCAAGATGTTTGGCCATTCAGGTAGGTGTGCCTCACTGCCAGGCCCTGTTACGACCTCCCCGGTGCCCAGCATCTCTCTGACTCAGAGGCCAGAGTGCCTTCTTCTCTGCTTTGCTTGCAGAAATCATCACAGGCATGAAGTTCACCTATGACTGTCGTCACTTGATCACCGTATCCGGAGACAGGTGGGACAGCCAGGGGTTGAGGGAGGGCCACATTGGCTGGGCTTCTCTGTGGGTATGGGGCTCAGCACACTGTGCTCACAGCGTGCCTGTGAGTGGAATGCACTTGACCAACTCACACCCACTTTGCCTAGGGGTCACCTAGGAGGCATGCCCCGCCTGAGTTCCGTCTCACACCTGACATTTATTTTGTTTCTCTTCTCTGAGCCTTACTTAGCTGAAAAAGAGATCACGCTGTCTCTATCTTGGCAACTCGGATAAGCTTTATAAGCCCTGAGAAAGATGATTTATATAACTTCTTTTTTTATTTTGGTGCCAGTCCTGGGGCTTGAACTCAGGACCTGGGCACTGTCCTGAGCTTTTTTGCTCAAGTCTAGTGTTCTGCCATTTGAGCCACATCTCCATTTCTGGCTTTTTTGGGGGATAGTTTATTGGAGATGAGTCTCACAGACAGGCTTTGGAGCACAATCCACAGACTGCAGCCTCCTGATTAATTAGGATTATAGGCATGAACCACCAGTGCCTTCCATGATTCATGTAAAATTCTTTTTCTGGTTGGTTAGGGCCTGGGTCCTGTGCCTGAGCTTTTTTGCTCGAGGCTGGCCTTCTACCATTTGAGCCACAGCTCCACTTCAGGGTTTCTGGTGGTTCATTGGAGATAAGAGTCTCATGGATTTTCTTGCCCAGGCTGACTTTGAACCACTATTAGATCTCAGCTAGGATTACAGGTGTGAGCCACCGGCACCTAGCATTATGTAAAATTCTGGTAGCCCATGCTGGGTGCTTTGCCCTTCCCTTTAATTTCCCATACTCTTCCCTCAAAGCCCTGTTCCTCAAGTCTCAAGACCCCAGAACAGACGCTGGGCTGCCTGGCCTGTCAGCCAGGGAGTAGATCTAAGCCCAAAGCCCTTGAATTCAGCTCTAGAGGGTCTAGAGATGGGGTCTTGGGCCTGGCAGCTAGGTGGCCCTAGACATAGGCATGGTGGTGATTGCTACGTTTCTTCTCCTTATGGCCCCTGCAGCTGCGTGTTCATCTGGCACCTGGGCCCGGAGATCACCACCTGCATGAAGCAGCACCTGCTGGAGATCAACCACCAGGAGCAGCGACGACAGCAGCAGCAGCCCAAGGACAGGACGTGGGGTGACCACCCAAGGTCCTGGCAGCCACCCGTTCCCCAGGGGTACAAGTGCATCTGCTGCCTGGCTGCACAGGCACATTTTTTTGTTTTTGGTCAGTCGTGGGGCCTGACTCTGGGCCTGGGCGCTGTCCCTCAGCTCTTCAGCTCAAGGCTAGCGCTCTACCACTTGAGCCACGGCGCCACTTCCGGCTTTTTTCTTTTTGCTTATGTGGTGCTGAGGAATCGAACTCAGGGTCTCAGGCATGCAAGGCAAGCACTCTACCACTGAGCCACCTTCCCAGCCCTATAGGCAGATTTTGTAAACAAAGCTCTAGTGACTCTCCGTGGGGCTCTGAGCAGGCTCTGAGCGCCCAGGCCATGTCTCAATCTCCCATAGTCCCCAAAGCTTTTTTCCTCTACCCAAGGGGGATTTGACTAACTGCTCTGCCCCCTGTCCCATCACTGTGCCCTTGAAGAACGGCTTACCGTTGGCCTTTATCACCCTTGCTGTGTCTCATTTTCTAGATGTGGAGAAGGTCAAGTGAGAGGCCTCCCCCTCCGTCTGAGTGGCCAAGACTGTCCCTTTGGAGCTTGGCACAGGGCCCGGCTCTAGGCAAGTCCTCCTCCCTTCTCCCCCTCCCCCCCGCTTATCTGTATTTCCTTTCTGTCATCCATCTTGGTGTTAGGCAGGAGACCTACACATCCATGCCCAGCGAGATCCGATCCCTCAGCCCTGGAGAGCAGACAGAGGATGAAACAGAGGAGGAATGTGAGCCAGAAGAGCTGGTGAAGACCCCATCCAAGGATAGTTTGGACTCAGGTCTGGAAGGGGGCCCAGGTAAGGGTCCCTAGGCGGTTTTGAAGTGTCAGCATGGAGAGTCATGGCTGGATCATGCCCACTACCTCAGTTTTCAGCTCATCATGTCAGCCAGCTCTTTCAGTGTAATGATAATCATACTCTTCATTGGCTTAAACTGGATAGAGAAAATTTTTTTGGTTGATGTTACTGAATATTCAAGAAGATTGGCTTTGCCAGGCACCAGTGGCTCATGCCTGTAATCCTAGCTACTCAGGAGGCTGAGATCTGAGAGTCACGGTTCAAAGCCAGCCAGGCAGGAAAGTCCGAGAGATTCTGATCTCCAATAAACCACTAGAAAACTGGAAGTGGCACTGTGTCTCAAGCAGTAGAGCGCTCACCTTGAGCTGAAGAGCTGAGGGGTAGTGCCCAAGTCCTGAATTCAAGCCCCACAACTGACCAAAAAAAAAGAAGATTGGCTTTAGGCATGGCTGAGTCCATATTAAAAGGAAGCTATTTGAGAAAAAAAACGGAAGTGGTGCTGTGGCTCAGTGGTAGAGCACTAGCCTTGAGCTGAAGAGTTGAGGGACAGCGCCCAGGCCTAGAGTTCAGGCCCCACAACTGACAAAAAATTTTAAAAATAAAAAAAAGGAAGCTATTTGGTTGGGTGCCAGAGCTGAAGCCTGTCATCCTAGCTACTTAGGAGGCTGAGATCTGAGGATCACACTTCAAACCCAATCCGGGCATGATAGTCTGTGAGACTCTTATCTCCAATAAACCACCAGAAAACCGGAAGTGGTGCTGTGGCTCAAGTGGTAGAGTGCTAGCCTTGACATTTTCTATCTCAAACAGTGATTGGGTATAGTAGTATATGCCTCTGTCCCATCTTTGGGGGAAGCCCAATCATGAGGCATGTTCCAGCATGGTAGGGAGAACAAGTGGGAGGATCCCAGTCCAGGCTGAGTTGGGTATAGAGTAAGATCCATCTCAAAAACAACCAATACACACAAGGTAAAGGAAGCTATCTTTCTCCATCTTTTGGTTCTGCTTTTCTTCATGCTGGCTTTATTCTCTGCAGATTTTCCCTTTACTGGGGGGAAAGATGCCCTGCAGATTTATAAAGCAAATGAAAGGTTAACTGAGTTCAGGAGAAGTGAGTCTTCTTTCCTAAACACTCACCACAAGTTCTGGGTGTGAATCATGGCTTTTGTCAGCCCCAGCCAAAGAGGGGGATACATGGAGGTCATGGGAAGTTAATACAACAATGGGTGTTTTTCCCCAGAAGATAACAGACTGTTGCTCAGGCAAAAGAGGCCACTGGCCAGTAGTGCAAGAGCTTTTTAAGTGAATTCCTTTTTGTGTATGTGTGCTGGTCCTGGGACTTGAACTCAGAGCCTGGGCGCTGTCCCTGAGGTTTTTCATTTAAGGCTAGTGCTCTACCACTTGAGCTAAAGTGCCACTTCTGGTTTTCTGGCGGTTCATTGGAGATTAGAATCTCATGGACTTTACTGCCCAGGCTGGCTTTGAACCCTGATCCTCAGGTCTCAGCCTCTTGAGTAGCTAGGATGACAGGTGTGAACCACCAATGGCCAACTTAACTCTTTTTTTTTGCTAGTTCTGAGGCTTGAACTCAGGGCCTGGCCACTGTCTCTGAGCTTTTTTTGTTCAAGGCTAGCTCTCTACCACTCTAGCCATAGCACCATTTCTGGCTCTTTCTGTTTATGTGGTACTGAGGAATCGAACTCAGGGCTTCATGCATGCTAGATAAGCACTCTACCACTAAGCCACATTCCCAGACCCTAGCTGAACTTTTTTGTTGTTGTTGTCAGTCGTGGGGCTTGAACTCTGTGACTGGGTGCTGTCCCTCAGCTCTTCAGCTCAAGGGAAGCGCTCTATCACTTGAGTCACAACGCCACTTCTGGTTTGCTGAGCAGTTTAGTGGAGATCAGAGTCTCATGGACTTTTCTGCTCGGGCTGGCTTTGAATCATGATCCTTAGCTCTCAGCTTCTGAGTAGCTAGGATTACAGGTATGAGCCACCGGTGCCCGGCCCAGCTGAACTTTTAATGTATAGGCTCCTGTGTTGTGTGTCACCTAGGAAAATGCTCATTTGTTCAGCCCATGCATCTCTCGGGTGTTTTGTTCCTTTGTCACGGATCCTATATGTCTCCTCAGATCCCCAGTGCCTGCTGACCAATGGCAAGCTGCCGCTCTGGGCAAAGCGGTTGGTAAGTCTTCCAGGACAGTGGGCTGGCAAAGGAGGAGTCCTGCCTATGCTCTTCTTCCTTTGGGGAGCCCTTTTCCCTTTCCAGATGTTTTCTCTCCCTGAAGAACCCCATTATTCAGGGTCAGGTCAGACAACCCTTCATTCACAATCCCCTACACCCCATGCCAGGGGCTGTTCTAGACATTGGGGTTACAGCAATGAGCCCTTGACAGGCTCATTTGCTAGTGTGGGAGTCGGACAGTAGCCATGGTGAATAAATGAGCGAAATCATGTCATGTGTTAGGAGTTGAAACCTGCTGTAGAGGAAGACAGGTTAGGAAGGAAAGAGGGAGTGCCAATGACAAGTAAGTTAAGAAGAAAAGGCCTCACAGACTAGCTGCTTAGAGCAGCTAGGATTAGAGGCGTGAGCCACCAGTGCCCGTCTGTCCATGAGATTCTTATCTGCAGTTAACTACCAAAAAGCTGGAAGGGGGGCTAGGGTTCAAGTGGTAGAGCACTAACCTTGAACAGCAAAGCTCAGAACAGTGTCCAGGCCCTGAGTTCAAGCTCCAAGAAAAGAGAGAGGAGGGGGAGGAGTTTCTGGAGAGACTCTGTCATTGGAGTTGCTGACTGCCTGACCTTCCCCTGTCCCTCAAGCTAGGGGACGATGATGTGACAGATGGCCCTGCCTTCCATGCCAAGCGCAGCAGCTACCAGCCACATGGCCGCTGGGCAGAGCGGGCTGACCAGGAGCCCCTGAAGACCATCTTGGATGCTCGGGCCCTGGATTGCTACTTTACACCCATGAAACCTGAGCATCTGGAGGACTCGGTTGTGGACACAGTGGAACCGCAGAACCTGGAGGATCTGCTGGGTGAGGTATGTCCTACACACACACAGCCTGGCCTGCCACCCACCCCCATTGCATCTGCCCACCCAGGACAAGGGACCTCAACATCCTCACTCTGAAATAGGGCTTCAGGGTATGGTGACTTCCCAGGCCAGACAAGGAATCTGCAAGTGGATCACAAAGGATTTAAGAGCTTAATCCCAGAGTTAAAGGGAACGTGTGTGTGTGTGTGTGTGTGTGTGTCTGTGTGTGTCTGTGTGTGTCTGTGTGTCTGTGTGTCTTGAGGCTTGAACTCAGGTCCTGGGTACTACCCCTGAGTTTTTGTGCTCAAGGCTAGAGCTTTATCAGTTGAGTGGCTTCCTCACTTCTAGCTTTTTTAGTGTTTAATAGGAGGTAAGTCTCATGAACTTTCCTTCCCAGCCTGGCTTTGATCTGTGATCCTTAGATGGCAGCCTCCTGAGTAGGTAGGATTACAAGTGTGAGCTACCAGCACCTGGCCAGGGGGAACTTTTGAATAGAAAGATCCCTGGCTTAATTCTCCTCAGGCTGTGTGTCCTGAAATGAGAGATTTGCCTCTCTGGACCTTCCTTTTCCAAAAAAATGGCATGATGATCTCTGTCTCATGACTTTTTTTTTCACTTTTAAAAGTTGTTATTATAAAGTGGTGTACAAAGGGGTTGCAGTTCCATAGGTCAGGTTATGAGTACAATATTTTTTGGTCAATATTACCCTTTCCTTCATTCTCCCCCATTTCCCCCCTTCCTTCCTTTCCTACACTCATTACTTTTTTTTTTTTTAATGGACTCAAACTCAGTACTTGATGCTTTCTGTCAGTGGCTGGTGCTCTACCAACTGAGCCATACCTCCAAACCCTGCACAAGTTATATGATTCATTTTGCCTCATGATTTATCTCCATAGAGACCACAGTGCAGGCTGACCATAGGCCAGGGCATGGGTCCTGTCTTTGTTCCCACAGCCAGTGCTGTGTACCATCATTCCCCATCATAGTCACAGCCATTGGCCTGTGAGGGCCTAAAGAGTGGTTCTGCTCTTTACCCTCTAGGCAGAGAGTCCCCAGGAGGATGGCCATGGGCATCCCTCCTTTCTATCCCTGCAGAGAGAGTCATCTGAGGCCAACAAGCTCCTTGTCTACTCCCTGGACAGAGAAGTCACAGTCACAGGGACCGCCAGGTGAGTGTCATGGCTACTGCTGGAAGAGCTGCCTCTGCTTCCCCAGAGGCCTGTGTGCATGCGCACAGAGGACCCCCAGCCTCAGCTGCAGCCTGTTTCCATGGTCCTCAACGGGGAGAGCCATACAGAGGGGGAGCATTTGGAGGAGCAAGGGATTCTGGGCAGGAGGCTTCTTGTTAACCAGAATAACCCCAGCTCTACTGGCATTGCAGCCAGTACTATGAGAAGGAGGCCAGGGCGGGGCCTGGAGAGCCACAGGCTGAGGCCTACCTCAAGGCGTCCTCCGTCAGCTTGAAGAACCAGAGCCCACCTGAGGGTGAGTGGGGCAGGCACCCTGGGATGGGCCCTTTGTGCACAATCCTTGCAAACCATATACTCAGACCCACCCATTAAGGGTTCCAAGTGGTGGGCTACTCACCACAGCTCTGCTCTTTGCAACTCAGGGGAAGCTGACTTAGACCGCCCCTTTGCTGCCCCTCATTTCTCTGCTCCACGGCCTGACCTGGACTCTCGGCTCACCATGACCATTCCCCACGAGCCAGGTAAGCCAGATACAGAGGAGGACAGTGTGTGAGCCCAGCTGAATGTGGTCACATAGCCAATGACTGAGAGGGGCTCACACCTATTATCCTAGCTACTCAGGAGGCTGAGATCTGAGGATAGCCATTTGAAGCTGGCTGGGCAGGAAAGTCCATGAGATTTTTTTTTTTTTATATCCAGTTAACCACCAGAAAACTGGAACAAGCACACTGCTCAGGCCCTGGGTTCAAGCCCCATGACCCACACAAAAAAAATTGTATAGTTTTATTTATTTTTGTTTATGCGGTACTGAGGAATCAAACCCAGGGCCTCAGAGAGCTAGGCAAGCACTTTACCCACTAAGCCACATTGCCAACCCCCCAAAATTGTAGGAATATGTGTGTATGTGTGTGTATAAAATAACTAAGGGAGCCAGGCACTGGTGGCTCACGCCTGTAATCCTAGCTACTCAGGAGGCTGAGATCTGAGGATCACAGTTCAAAGCCAGCCCAGGCAGCAAAGTCTGTGAGACTCTTTTTTTTTTTTTTAAATATTTAATTACAGTTACAAACTTAAGCATTTTATCTTATATATATTTATTGACTGAATCCCTGGAGTCAGTATCTCTTAATTTCCTGTTGTTTTGGTGTTTTGTTTTGTTTTGTTTGGTCAGTCATGGGGCTTGAACTCTGGGCTTGGGCACTGTCCCTCACCTCTTCATCTCAAGGCAAGTGCTCTACCGCTTGAGCCACAGCGCCACTTCCGGCTTTTTTCTTTTTGCTTATGTGGTGCTGAGGAATTGAACCCAGGGCCTCAGGCATGCAAGGCAAGCGCTCTAACACTGAGCCACCTTCCCAGCCCTCTGTGAGACTCTTATATCCAGTAAACCACTAGAAAACTGGAAGTAACGCTGTGGCTCAAGTGATAGAAAGCTTGCCTTTAGCTGAAGAGCTGAGAGACAGCGCCCAGGCCCAGAGTTCAAGTCCCACGACCAAAAAAAAAAAAAACAAACCTAATGGGGCTGAGGCCCCCATCGGCCCTAAATCCCAGTTTCCTGGCCTATAAGGTTGGCCTTCTCTGTCAGGTGGCAGCAGGGCGTGTGACAGGTATATCCAGCTTTCTCCATGGTTGAGTGGCATCCTCCATGACTCACCAGGTTGAAAGCTTCTGTCTCCCCACCCTTCTCCTACCTCTCTCCAGGATGCCTGGGTATGGCAGAAGAACCGCCCCGGCCTGAGGGGCCAGGCCCAGCCAATAGCTCTGTTCCCCAGACTCCTGAGCAGGAGAAGTTCCTCCGTCACCACTTTGAGACGCTTACCGATGCCCCCTCTGAAGGTAGGGCCTGGCCCTGTACCATACTGAACCTTCCTAGGTTGTCTGGGAAGCAGCGTGGGGCCCAGAGTAGGTTTTTTCTGTTTGTTTGTTTTTTGTGCTGGTTCTGGGGCTTGAACTCAGGATCTAGGTGCTGTCTCTGAGCACTTTTTTTGCTCAAGGCTGGTGCTCTACCACTTTGAGCTCCATTTCCAGCTTTTTGGGGTAGTTAATGGAGATAAGAGTTTCTTGGACTTTTTCTGCCTGTGTTGTTGCCTTTGAACTATGATCCTCAGCTCTCAGCCTCTTGAGTAGCTGGGATTACAGGCATGAGCCAGGCTACACTTCTCTTAAGGACAGTTCTGCTTGCTCTTCCTCCCCCTGGTCCCTTCACTCCTGAGGTCAGGTGTGTAGTGCCTGCTGGTGGAGTCCTGGGGACCTGCCTGCTGCTGTGGGTCTCGCTGCGCAGGCCTTCTTGTCTGGGAGGGCTCTGAGGACTCCACAACAATGTCCCCCAGAGCTCTTTCAAGGGTCCCTGGAGGACGTGAAGGTCTCAGAGGCTGAGGACGACTTCTTCAACCCCCGGCTGAGCATCTCCACACAGTTTCTGTCACGCCTGCAGAAGGCATCCAGGTAGATGCTGGTTACCTCACCCCTGCCTCGCTGTCCTTCACCCTGATGGGCCGCGGTCCCTCCGATACCCACAGGCAGAATGGCAGTGCCACTGTCCCACCCCCAGGTTCACCCATACCTTCTCACCCCTGCTGCCTCTGCACCTGGTGAAACCTCCGGAGGCCAAGCTTCGCCACCGGGGAAGCCAGCCCCAGGCAGAGCCCCCGAGAGCAGGTACTGGCTACACCTCCCCAGACGGGACCAATGTGAGTATTGGGGTCAGCTCCCCCAGGGCCCAGGGCTGAGAACCAAGAGGCCTTGTCCTCAGAGCTGTCCTTGCAGGTCCTTTTGGGGGCAAAGGCTGAGGAGCCCCTGGAGCCCCTGTGCCCACGGAGTGAGTACCTCAAGTCACAGATGACTAGCCCTGTGTGTCCCAGCTGAGCTGGGAGGGGGGTCGGGGGGAGTCTGTTCATACTGTGAATTCCTCCCTGGGCAGAGCCTGTCCACTCAGCGACAGGGTTGGAGTGAGCCATCTGCTTCCTTTACAGCCCCCCACCTTACAGGCCTGGCACCCTGTGTCCCTTCCTCCTCAGTGCTGCCCACAGACAGGAAGCCTTCAACACCCACATCTGAACCAGGCCTGGATCCGGGCGTCTGTACCCCCTCTACCTGCTCCTCCATGGAATCTACCACCAGCTCCCGAGCCAAGATGTCATGTGAGGATCCCATCCTCGCTGAGCTGGCCGGCCCCCTCCACAGACCCTCATCTGTTGAAGAACTGGACGCTCTGGGCCAGGAGCTCCCGGCCCTTGTCACAGCAGAACCCAGTTCTGGAAACGAGGACCAAGAACCTTCCCTGCCTTCCTGGGGCAACCACGAGGCCCGAGCTGGCCTAAGACTCACCTTGTCAAGTGTCTGTGACGGGCTGAAGCCACCCACCACGTGTGTCTGGTCCCAGGAGTCCGTGGACATGAGGCCTGGTGTAACAGCCAGCTCGCTAGCCACCAGCCCTATGGATGGAAGCACCCCAAGGCTCCACAGCTCTGCCTTTCTTCCAAAGCTCCCAAGCCCCCCCTCCCTGTCCCCGTCTCCCCACTCCAACAGCCCCCCACTTCCAGAAGTTAGGCCTGAAGTCCCTGGTAGCACTTCCTCCCTTCCGGAGCCCAGCCCTGGTAAGCATCACCTTGGCACAGGACTGGATCTTCAGCCTATCCCCTGTCCTAGCTGGCTCCGCTCCCAAGCTGGACACTTCAGCTAGCCACAGGGACCGTGGGGTCACTTACATATTTAATAAGCACTTGTGTTCCAGGCCTTTGGACACTTGGTAAACAACAGGGTAGAGATTTGACATCGTGTGTGTGTGTGTGTGTGTGTGTGTGTACAGGGTAGAGATTTGACATCGTGTGTGTGTGTGTGTGTGTGTGTGTGTGTTACTTGAATCAGGGCCTAGGTGCTGACCTTTAGCTTTAACACTTAAGCAACAGCCCCACTTCTGCCTTTTTGGTGGTTAATGGGAGATTAGAGTCCTACAAAGCCTGAGCTGGCTTTGAACCTCAATCCTTGGTTCTCAGCTTTCTGAGTAGTTAAGATGACAGGCTTGAGCCACCAGTACCTGGCCACATACCACTTTTAATACATCAGACACTTTATAGATTTTGCTTGGGAATCTGTCCCTAAATTGTAAATTCTCAGCTGGGCACCAGTGTCTCACACCTGTCATCCTAGCTACTCAGGAGACTGAGATCTGAGGATCACAGTTCTGAGCCAGCATTGGGCAGACCAATCTGAGAGACTATCTCCATTTACCAGCAAAATGGAGGTGTGACTCAAGTGGTAAAGATCCAGTTGTGAGCAAAAAAAAAAAAAGCCAGTTGAGGGCTGGGAAGGTGGCTCAGTGGTAGAGTGCTTGCTTCATATGTATGAGGCCCTGGGTTCAATTCCTCAGCACTACATAAGCAGAAAAAAAGCCAGAAGTGGCGCTGTAGCTCAAGTGGTAGAGCACTAGCCTTAAGCTGAAGAGCTGAGGGACAGTGCCCAGTCCCAGACAAAAACCAATTGGAACTGAAGGCCTTGAGTTCAACCCAGAGTAGGGAAAAAAAAAGTGTTATGTGCTAAGGAGAGGAGGGAAGCAGGGAGTCGGCAGTGGAAAGGATGATGAGAAAATCCTTTGAGACCAGCTGAGGCAGCCCTGGGGATTATTGAGATCAGCCCAGCCTCTAGCCTTATTTCCTTGTCTCTGCCCCAGGTGTACCCAGTCCTGTCCCAGGGAGCTCTGGACACTGGAGGGAGCTTGGGCTACCGGCTGCTGTCCTGCCCCCCACACCCCTCTACCTACATGATGTGACGAGCATCTTGCACAGGCTGCAGACTGCCTTCCAAGAAGCCCTTGACCTTTACCACACAGTAAGCTGGTGACCCCGGGGCCAGGGGAAAGGTTGAGGGGCTCCGTGGGCCTGGAGGATCCCTGATCAGCTTGCCATCGCTTGCAGTTAGGCTCCAGTAGCTGGCTGGGCACTGACCAGCAGCAAGCACAGACCCTGCTGGCCTCCACCTTCCTTTGGATCCACAGCCAGCTGGAAGCCAGCGACTGGCTGGTTGGAGATGACTTGGCTCCTGCCCAGTCTGTGCCAAGCCCACATCCTCCATCCTCACCCACACTGGGCTCCTTGGCCAGCCCAGACTTGCAGGCCCTTTTGGAACACTACTCAGAACTGCTGGTTCAGGCTGTGCGGAGGAAGGCGCAGTGAGACCGAGGCCTTACTGCCGCCATCACTTGCCGCTCTGGAAAAGCAGGTTATTTTGAGCAAATAAAGGGGCAGCTTAAAACCATAGTCCTGGTACTTGTCCTCATCTGTATGCCATGGCCTCTCCAGGTGGATGTCGAGAGGGCGGGGGGGGGGGGGTTCCACAGCTACGGAACCATGGCAGACCAGCCTGGGACTCTGCATTTGTGCCAGTCCCAGCTGCAGCCAGGGGTAGGGGCAGAGCTTCTGTGGTCACTAGGCCTGAGCACATCACTGGCTCCTGCAAGCTCCAGGCTGCTATGCCCTTCTGCAACAGGGGAAACTGAGGAAAGACAAACAATGAGAACCAAGCTACCCAGCAGCTGGGACATGTAGTTCCTTCCCCAGCATCACCGTCCTAGGAGCCATCAGCCCCTCCAGGCAGCAGGCATCTGCTACAGGGGATGTCTGCTGAGAAGCCAATTTGACAGCACAAGTATGCCCACTGACCTGGTAAGGAAGCCAGCAGGGGAGGCCCTTCTAAAGCAGAGCACCACCATGTGACCTGCCATGGCCTCTGAGCTCTTCTGAGCTCTGCTGGGTGGTCTTAGCCCCAGAAACAAACACAGAGACCCAGCAGGGGATGCTAAGTCTGAGATCCAATCCGAGTAGGGATGATGGCAGGGCTGGACCCATCAACGTGATGACATAACATGTGTTACACACGAGACCAGCCAAGCAGTTGTTCAGACCAGACCCCCAGTGCCTGTCACTGCCCTGTATCTGTGTGAGAGTGGGGCACAGCAGAATGAGGGTATAGGGTGGGAGAAAAAGGAATTACCTACAAACTGTAACCCGAGTGGGGCTGCTATTCTCAGCGAAGGCCTTTTCCTAGTGGCAGCTGAGGCTTGACAAGAGGACATTTAAGGAACACCCGGCAGACAACAGCCAGGCCAAAGGCCCCGTGGGAGGCTCCCATAAGGGTGTGGCAGGAATAGTGGCAAGGCTAGGAAAGTCGGGGTGGAGTGGGAGAGGAGGAGAGAGGTGGGAGGCATAGTGGTGCAGGGCTTTGTGGTGGTGGTTTATTACTTGTGGCTCCTTCCCCCTGTCTCAGTGAACCAGGTGACCCGGAGCTTGTAGGCAGGCTTGACTTCTGCCAGAGGCTGGCTCCTAGCACACAGACTGCCGGTGGGAGTGGGGGGTACGCTGTCGATCTGGTGACCCACTTGCTTCATTTGACCATTGCCAGAGGAGACTCGTGAGGCAAGCTTTGGTGTGTGGGGAGTTGCCAGTTCTCCTACTCTGGATCATGGTAAAGGTTTCAATGCCAAGCAAACACCTGGCTTTCAGGAACCCAAGACTTGGGGATATCTGTTACTCGCTGTCATCTTGGGCCTGGCCTCCTGCTTTCTCACCTGCCCTGCTCCAGCCCCCACCCCCCCAGTCCATTTCACCCTCCAGCTTTGGACCTCCCAATTGCAACCTGGCTGCTGTGAACACGGACAGAAAAACCCTTTCATCCAATCAGGAGCAAAAGCATGAAGCTAGGCAGGTACCAGGGAGCAGGAAGGAAATGTAACTTCTTCACATCAACCAAGGCAACCACAGTGGAGGTTGCTAGGACCATCTCCCCCTTCCTGGACCTGTTGCTATGGAAACAAAATTGGGTTTCTCAACACAGAAGGGTGGGCTACTGCCACTCCCCTCTCCCAAATGCCAAGCAATTAAACCCTGGGAGGATCAGACTGGACATGCTGTGATCCCACAGCATCCCAGCAGCTGCTCATGGGATATTCCAAAGAGTCCTTTAATAAGGGCCATTGGCAAAGGACCAGACAGGGACTGGGGAACTACCAGGACTGGCCCAGAAATTGTGCCAAAGGGAAGTTTTTACATCCACAAGGCACAATGAACAAGAAACCAGGAGAAGCTGGGCACTGGTGGCTTATACCTGTAATCCTAGCTACTCAGGAGGCTGAGATTTGAGGATCAAGGTATGAAGTCAGCATGGGTAAGGAAGTCCATGAGACTTACCTCCATTTAACCACCAAAAAGCCCGAGTAGAGCTGTAGCTCAAGTGGTAGAGTACTAACCTTAAGTGTAAAAGTTAAAGGATAGCACCTATGCTCTTAGTTCAAGCCCCAGTACCTGAAAACAGAATCAGGAAAACCGACACTACATATCTCAGCCTCCTTACAGGGTGTAGGGTTGCACACACAGATTTTTCAGAAGTGGGGGAGGGTTGGAAGGGTGTGGCTAACAAGCAGGAGGCTAGGAATTCAAACCCCAGAACTACAAAAAAAAAAAAAAGTTTTGTTTATACCAGTCCTGGGGCTTGAACCTAGGGCCTGGACACTGTCCTAGAGCAATTTTGCTCAAGCCTAGCAATCTACCACTTTGAGCCACAGCGCCACTTCTGGTCTTCTGGTGGTTAGTTGGAGATAAGAGCCTCAGACTTTCCTGCCCCGGCTGGCTTCAAATCATGATCCTCAAATCTCAGCCACCTGAGCAGCTAGGATTACAGGCATGAGCCCTCTGCACCCAGCTGCTCGGATGTTTTAGTTTTTACTTCCTGGTTCTGTTTTAGTATTTATGATTTTACATTTTCCTGCCTCTTTACCTATCTTGCTTCAGTTCCATTTGCTGGTTGGAGAAATTGAGGCTTGGTGAGCAATGACACCCCAGATCCCGGCACCCAGCTTGGATCTTTATTTTTGCTCTTACTTAAGGACTGGTGTCCTACACCTGTGGGAGGACAATCACAGCTGCCCCTCCCTACTTCCTCGGACAGCTGTGATTTGAATAACCACGCAGGCTGTGGACAACCGGTGGTGACTGATTTGCCTGGCAAACGGAATCTTCAAGTTCTTGCCCTGCCAGTGCTCAGACTATGTTTCTTTCCTCTCCCCAAACCCAAGAGTGATCTGGGCTCTTCCTACATTTTGAGCCTTTCTGGGGGGCCCTACCTGTCTGTCCCTGGCAGCTGGCACTGGACAGAGTTTCTACAGGAACCTGGCTTAGCAGAAGGATGCTCAGAGGCAGAGCTAATGGCAGTAGGTAAAGCTGTTCCTGAGGCTTGTGGACAAATTTGCATGGGAAGAATGAGATCCATTCCTCCCCCCACCACACACACACTTTCCAGGGCTCCCCCTCCCTTCCCACCTGGGATTGTGGTCCTGGGACTGAGGTCTGACAGCAGGTAGAGGACGCTGCAATCTGTGTGAGGAGCCATCTCACCATTGCCACCATTGCCGAGGTGATGCCCCGTGTCTTTTTGGTCAGGAGTCGGCGTCCACAGCCACCCAACTGGGGCCACCTGCCTGACCAGCTCCGGGGAGATGCCTACATCCCAGGTGGGCTCCTCACTGGCCCTGGATCTGAGGGGCAGGGGAGACAAAGAACATCACCATGCCTCTGGCTTCTCTCCTCAGATTGCAGCAGCCAAGGAAGGCCGGCAGCACACCAGACTTCTGGCCTCAGGAACTCGTGGGCAATGGTGAGTCAGAAGCTGGCTAAGACAGGGCCGGCTTCAACCCTGCTGGCTCTCACCCTCAACAGAAGCTCTACTACTTGAGCCACGCCCTTAGGCTTTTTTTTTTTTGCTTTAGTTATTTTTCAGATAGGTCTAAGTTTTTTGTTGTTGTTGTTATTTGGTTTGTTTTGCCCAGGCTTATCTCAAACAGTGATCTTTCTACCTCTGTCTCCTGAGTGTAACTGGAATGACAGGTGTGAGCCACCACACCTAGCTGGTGGATGATTTCTGAGACAACGGACAAAGTGTCAAGGATGGAAGGCTCCATGTGCACTAGAAGGAAAGAGGTTATTTGTGAGCCACACACAGCTCTAAATGCTAGGTAGTTAGCAGGAACAAAACAAAGATCCTTTCCCTTCATTGGAGCTTATATCTGGTAAGGTCTGTGGACAGAGAGTAACCTTAGGAAAAACGTTTCAAGAGAGTATTTGCAGGGCTGGGAAGGTGGCTTAGTGGTAGAGTGCTTGCCTAACATGCATGAAGCCCTGGGTTCAATTCCTTAGTACCACATAAACAGAAAAAGCCCGAAGTGGTGCTGTGGCTCAAGTGGTAGAGTGCTAGCCTTAAGCAATAGAATTTCAAGGACAGTGCCCAGACCCAAGTTCAAGCCCCGGGAATAGCAAAAAAAAAAAAAAAAAGTATTTGCAGCTGGGCATCATCGGTGGTTCATGGCTGTAATCCTGGCTAGTTAGGACTGAGATTTGAAGATCAAGGTTTGAAGCTAGCCTGGGCAAAAAGCTGGAACTGGAGCTGTGGCTCAAGTGGTAGAGTGTTAACCTTGAGCAAAAAAACCCTCAGAGACAGGGCCCTGGATTGGCACAAGGCAAGGAGAGAGTACTTACTGTGGAGACTTAAAAAGCAAAGTATAGGGGGGAGGGGGGAGGCTGGGAAGGGATGTGAAGGGTAAACAAAAGGAGGAGGCTGCAATGCTTGGTAAGAAATGTACGCATTATCCTGCCCATGTAATTGTAACCCCTCTGTACAGTATCTTCACAAATAAAATAAAAAAAAAGCAAAGTATATAAAGCAAGGTAAGAGTGATAGAGTTTGAGCAGGATGCTGGTGGCCCACGCCTGTAATCTGAGCTAGCTACTCAGGAGGCTGAGACCTGAGGATTATAGTTGAAAGTCAGCCCAGGCAGAAAAGTCCGATGAGATTCTGATCTCCAATTAAACACTCAAAAACCAGAAGTAGAGCTGTGCCCCAAGAGTGGTAGAGTGCTAGCCTTGAGCAAAAGAGCTCAAGGATGGTGCTCAGGCTGAATTCAAGCCCCACAACCGACAAAACAAAAACCAAAAGGTGATGAGGTTTAGCTAGTGGAAAGTCTTCGAAGGTAACACATCCTATACTAGGCAGATGCCAGCCTTCCTAGTCTTCCTTAGCTCTGAGTACTCTGTAAATACTGTTTGTTGAGTAAGAAATGGGGACAAGGCCCAGCTGGCAGGGCTAACACCTGCATTCCTTCTGGGCAGCCCACACAGGGAACCCTGGCATCCACTCCCAGGGGCCCTGGGACACTTGGCTGCCCCTTGTGCCCCAAGGCCTTCCCCCTGCAACGCATGCTGACTCGGCACCTCAAGTGCCACACCCCTGCACGCCGCCATGTGTGCCGCTGCTGTGGCAAAGGCTTTCACGATGCCTTCGATCTCAAGCGCCACATGAGGACTCACACTGGTGAGCAAGGGCATGGATGAGCACGGGTTGCTGGTCCCAAGGCCAGGAAGCCGATGGAATGAAATGGTGATTGGAGCTGGGCACTGGTGATTCAGGCCTGTAATCCTAGCTACTCAGGAGACTGAGATCTGAGGATGGCAGTTAGAAGTCAGCCCAGGCAGGAAAGTCCCCATGAGACTCTAATCTCCCATTAACCACTCAAAAACCAGAAGTAGAGCTGTGGCTCAAGTGGTAGAGCACTAGCCTTGAGCACATAGAGAGGCTCAGGGACAGCGCCCAGGCCCTGAGTCCCAGCCCCACAACCAAAAAAAAAAACAAGAAAAGAGAAAAAAAGAAAAAGTAATGGTGATTGGACACAGATTGAGTTCACAGGCAACAGAATCACCATGCACCTCAGACCCCATACTTGAAACCCAGTAGGTGGGTGAAAAGGTGTCCTCCTCCAGGTAGGAGCCTGGCAAGGAGTGAAACAGGTTATTAATTAAAAAATTCAGTCCATCATGCCCCAAAAGAACAGTCAAGCACATTCTCTCCCTGTCCTCCAGGGGAAAGAACTTCCTGGTGCAGGGAGGCGGGGAGGACCCAGGGATCTGGTCCATGTTTGCACTGAGTGGGGGATAGCAGAGTGGGGGTCGGAGCCAAAGAGTCTGAAGAGTTTGCAACAGTGAGGGGAGCTGCTCCATGCTGGGGAGTACAGGGGCCGTTGTCCTCAAAGTCATGCCTCCTCTCTGCACTTCAGGGATCCGGCCTTTCCGCTGTGGAGCTTGTGGGAAAGCTTTCACGCAGCGCTGTTCCCTGGAAGCGCATCTCGCCAAGGTGCATGGACAGCCGGCTAGCTACGCCTACCGCGAGCGACGCGAGAAGCTGCATGTTTGTGAGGACTGCGGCTTCACAAGCGCCCGGCCGGATGCTTACGCCCAGCACCGCACCCTGCATCACGCCGCCTGAGCCCCCGTCCCACCCGCCAAGCCCAGGCGAATAAACACGGGAAATATGGGCACAGAATCTGGTATTTATTACAGGGGGAGTTAGGGATGCTCACTCGGTCCAGCGGTGGCCACAGTGTGGGGCAGTGCAAACATAGTACAGGCGCATGGCATCCTGGTGGTTAGAAAGGTTCAGGACTCAGAGAGTCCACCCACCCCAAAAACACAATCAAGGAAACTTTCCCAACTAGCAAGGGTCCAGCCTAAGATTCTGGGAACAGTGGGGTCACTTTAGTTTTTGTTGTCCACCCTCCCCAACTCAGGGCCTGAGTGCTGTCCCTGAGCTCTTCTGCTCAAGACTTTGCCTCTTTGAGACAGCAACACTTCTGGTTTTCTGGTGGTTCATTGGCGATAAGAGTCTCACAGCCTTACCTGCCCAAGCTGGCTTCGAACTGCGATCCCCAGATCTCAGCCTCCTAAGCAGCTAGGATTATATACATAAACCACCGGCATAGGGCTCTAATCTTGGTATTTCTGCCCTCTCTGGGAATAGGACCAAGCCCCAAGCACGCAGGGAGCAATCCAGCCACTCACCTCAGCCCGGGCACTGTGTGACTGGAAGAACACTGCCTCCTTGTGGCCACACCTGAGGAGAGGCTTCTATCACTCAAAAGTTTTGATATCCTACCCACCACCCAGCCCCGATTCTTCAACCCCAGAAAACGCGCTACCCTCTCCCCAGCGCTCACTTCTGGCACGGGTGGTCTTCGGTCCGCGGCAAAGTGGGGTCCTGGGACACGTCCGCGATGATCTGAGTCAGCTCGCTGCAGGGATGTGTGTGTGTGTGTGTGTGTGAGCAATTACGCTTAGCTGGGGTGCTCCCCAGACAGAGCCCATCACCCCAAACCCTGGTCCTGCCACTCACTCCACTTCGTGCGTGATTTTGTTGACGTAGATGCAGCTGTTGTCCGCTTCCTGCTGGTAGTCACAGTTCCGGCACTGCGAGGGGGCGAGCGTGGGGGGGGGGGTCACAAAAACGTCCACGGGGTCAGGAAAGAGGGATCCCAGAAAGGAAGATGAAGTCACCTCGGGGATGGGCGAGACAGGGGAGCGGGGTCACTGGGGTAATGGTCAAGAGCAAAGGCCAGCAGGGCCCGTCGGGAGCACCCAGTCTGTGGGTTACAGAAGCGGGGCCGCCCCGCGGACCCGCGCTCACCGCGTACAGCAGGATGCGGTTCTCCTTGTCTTCCTTGGGGTACAGCATGTTGTTACTGCGGGTCGGGGAAAGTCGGAGGTCAGGCGTGGGGTCACCCCCTTGCTCCCCTCTCACGCTCACTTCCCCCTCTTACCATTCCTGGCAGAAGCGAATACCCACAAAGCCCGGCTCGTAGGTGCCATCGGGTTCCATAGTTACGCACTGACCGCGCGGCCTCCCGCGCGTGCGCAGAGCGCGCGACGGGTCGCGCGAAGGGTCAGACCTAGGCGCTGCGCCCACAAGGGGCGGAGCCTCCTCCACGTCCCTTGGGCGTTGAGCTTGGCTTGTTGCTCGCCTGGGCCTTTTGACAGCCCGTAGTAATCGCTTCTAATTTGGGGACCTTGCTGCCCTGGCTTACGGAAGGGGAATAGACCGAGTATAACAACCGAGACTATGAGGCGCAATGCAACACGCCAGGCGCGGAGCGTAAGTAGAAGACTCCACCGCGCTTCCCTTGGGCCAGTGCACATGCGCAGTGCGAACTTTTCGCGGACCGGGATTTCTCCTGCCAGTCCTTTCTCCTGGCTTCACCCGCCGGCCCTGACCGTTTCCTGTATGGCTATTGGAAGAACAAGCGAGCTCTGGAAAGCCTCTCAGGATTGGTTGGGCCTACCTAAGAGTAAGGGAGAGCCAACTTCCGGGCCATGGAGAAAGAATGGCAACGATTGGCTGAGCCTTCCAGCGGGAGCCTTCTGATTGGTCCTGTTCAGGAGCTGGCGGGGCGGGACCTCTCTCCCAGAAGCGGCGGCGGCGCTGCCTGCGGAACCGGTGTGAGGCGGCCGAGCTGCGCTGTGGCGTGCGGCAGGGCGCGGCAGGATGGAGGTGACGGGGTTGTCGGCGCCCACCGTGAACGTTTTCATCAGCAGCTCCCTCAACAGTTTCCGCTCCGAAAAGCGGTATAGTCGCAACCTCACTATTGCTGAATTCAAGGTGCGGCCTTGGAGGTGGTGCCCTAGGGGTGTGGCAAATAAAGGGTTGGGGGTGGTCCTAAGGTTATCTGTGGATGCCCGGACTACGGGATTCGGCCTTGGGTGAATTGGGAGAACCTGAGATCCCTGGGGGTAGGGGCGGGGCCGGGGAGAAAATAGAATCAGATGCTCCTGGGAGCCTGTGGCCGAGCAGAGGGGATGGGGGAATGGAAGAAGCAGAGGTCTGGTGGGCCTTGAGTGATGGTTATCTAGGTGGGGTGATGGAGACGAGAGGTGGAACTTTGAGGGAGAGGATGGGGCCACTGACAGTCTTTCTCCCCCCTCTTCCGTCTCCCCGCAGTGCAAGCTGGAACTGGTGGTGGGCAGCCCTGCTTCCTGCATGGAATTGGAGCTGTATGGAGCTGATGACAAGTTCTACAGCAAGTTAGATCAGGAGGACGCTTTGCTGGGCTCTTATCCCGTAGACAACGGTTGCCGAATCCATGTGAGGCCACCGTCGCTGGGACCCTGTCCATTCATTTATTGATCAGATGCTTGCCATGAAAGCAAGTGTGTGATGACCAACATACATAAGCCCTACCCTTATGGAACCCGCCCACCCCCCCCAGTCCAGCATGATGAGAAATGTCCATATCACTGTACAGTGACAGCCTAGAGTGATCTGGGACCGATGATTCAAACTCAGGGAACCGGGGGCATCTAGAAGTGGTAATTGCCTCCCTCTGGGAACTAAAGAAAGAGCTTCCGAGCCAGGTACCAGTGGCTCATGCCTGTAACCCTAGCTACTCAGGAAGCTGAGATCTGAGGACTCTGATTTTAAGCCAGCCTGGGCAGGAAAGTCTGTGAGACTCTTATCTCCATTTAACTCTCCCCCTCCCCCACCAAAGGAAAAAAAAAACAACGAAGTAGATATGGGTCTAAGTGGTAGAACACTAGCTTTGAACAAAAAACAGTTCAGAGAAGGTGCCCAGGCCTTGATTCAAGCCTCAGTAATTACACACACACACACACGCACATGGGGGGGGGGGAACGGGACGAACTTGTCCCTTCTGCTCTGTTCAGGAGGGAGAAATGGCTGGGATGAAGGGTGGGGAGGGGAGGAACTTGGTTTCTCCCAAATGAGGAGACTTGAGTCTACAGGATGGTCCAAGTGCATGTGTACCCCAGCATCCCAGGTTACACCCCCCTCCCCCACTCTCCCACAGGTCATTGACCACAGTGGTGCCCGCCTTGGGGAGTATGAGGATGTATCCAAGGTGGAGAAATACAAGATCTCACAAGAGGCCTATGAACAGAGGCAAGGTACAGAATGTGAATGTGGGGTTGGGTGGGGAGTGAGGAGTGGGCAGTGCAGGCAGAAGGCTTAGAGGGGATCGGGACAGATGGCGCTTGGGAAGGTAGAGAGGAGGTTGGGGGACAGCAGTGAGAGTCACTTGGCAGCCTGAGGTGGGGCAGGCAGGACACGTGGCAGTGTCATCATCTGTAAGCACCTTAGCATAGTAGTGGGAAAGACGGGCTTGATTGGAGCAGAGACTGAGGGGCAGGGAGAAGATGGGCCATGCACAGGCCTGGACATATGTGACAGCGTTCCAGTCCCTGGAATAGAAGAATGGCTGCAGGAATGTTGGCCCTGGGGGGTGGGACAGATACACAGCCCAGCCATTGAGTCCAATTGTCTCCCCCACCCTACCTGATCCACAGACTCAGTCCGATCCTTTTTGAAGCGAAGCAAACTTGGCCCTTACAATGAAGAACAGAAGGCACAGCAAGAGGCTGAGGCAGCCCAGCGCCTTGCCGAGGAGAAAGCCCAAGCCAGTGCCATCTCCGTGGGTAGCCGCTGTGAGGTGCGGCCACTGGGGCAGTCCCCGCGCCGGGGCACCGTCATGTATGTAGGTATGTAGTAGTAGCCCAGGGATTGCTGGATCCTAAGTTCGAGCAGAATGCCATTCATTCTGTCAGTAGTCCCTGAAATCTGCTCTGTCCAGAGGCCTGGGACTTGGCCTTCAAGGAGAGCCTAGCTTTTTTTTTTTTTTGCCAGTTCGGGGGCTTGAACTCAGGGCCTGGGCACTGTCCCTTAGCATTTTTCACTCCAGGCTGGTGCTCTATCACTTCAGCTATAGTGCCATTTCTGGCTTTTTGGTGGTTAATTGGAGATCAGAGTCTCATGGGTTTGTCTTCCTGGGCTGGCTTTGGACTGTGATCCTCAGATATCAGCCTCCTGAGTAGCTAGGATTATGTGTGTGAGCCACTGGCACCCAGCTTACTGATATTTCTTACATTATCTTCACACATACATGTAATATGTTTTAATATTATTCACCCTCAGGGGTTTCCCTTTTTCCCTAAGATAGCGTTGGATTTTGAACTTCCCAAGTAGCTGAGATTACAAGTGTGAGTTAGGGTGCCCAGCTGAATTGTTTTCTTGTTGTTGGGTGAGCACTAGTTTGCTAGGGCTCCTCCAATGAAGTACCACATGTAGGGAATTAAAAGAACAGAAATGTAGCCGGGTGCTGGTGGCTCACACCTGTAATCCTAGCTACTCAGGAGGCTGAGATCTGAGGATCGTGGTTTAAAGCCAGGCCCGGCAGGAAAGACTGTGAGACTCTTATCTCCAATAAACTACAGCTGTAGCTCAAGTGGTAGAGCACTCGCCTTGAGCTGAAGAGCTGAGGGACAGTGCCCAGGCCCAGAGTTCAAGCCCATGACTGACAACAACAACAACAAAAGAACAGAAATGGATTTCTCACTGTTCTGGAGGCTGCAAGTCCAAGGTCAAGCTGTGGGCAGGTTTGCTTTATTCATTGCCATGTTGCTACAGAGGCCTTTGGTGTGAATGCTAGTCTGTATGTGAGTTCAGGAATCTGTGCTCTCTGTGGCAGTGGAACTATGCTGCCCCCCTTTTGTTTTGGCTGGGCTGAGTGAATGGGCAGGGGTGGGATCATGGAGAACAATCAGTGAAGAGGCTCTGTCTCCATGCTGGTGGTCCTGGAGGAGCCCAGTGTCCTAGGGGAAGAGAGTGTGGGTAGTAAGGAGTGGTTTTCTCCAGCACAGGCTTTCAGCCTATAGGCCTGACTTTGGGGGAGCCCTGTGCACAGATTTCACCAGGTTTCTCCCCTGGCAGGACTCACAGATTTCAAGCCCGGCTACTGGATTGGTGTCCGCTATGATGAGCCACTAGGGAAAAACGACGGCAGGTAGGCATGTTCCCACTGAGGGGGGTGCATATACGTGCACATGCTTGTGTGCAAATCCAGGCACCGCTGGGCGAGCCTTCTCATCTGTGGAAGCCACACCGGTGCTCTAATCACTGCCTCCCATCATGCCTTGCAGTGTGAATGGGAAGCGCTACTTTGAGTGCCAGGACAAGTATGGAGCCTTCGTCAAGCCATCAGTTGTAACAGTGGGGGACTTCCCAGAGGAGGACTATGGATTGGATGAGATGTGACACCCAAGGAAGGGTGTCTCCCTGCTCCAGCTCCCGACGACTCCCTTCATCGTCCCTCCCTATATGTACGCCCATGCCCTCTTCACCTGACCCATCTCTGTTTCCTTTACCTTCCACCTGCTGTGGATTTGTAACACTCATAAATTCGTCAGAAACTGGGGAAGTATGTGAGGGCCTCTGATTTGGGGAGCGGCTGAGGAAAGCTGGAGGGGGGGGTGTATAGAACAGGAACCTGAGCAAAGCGGTAGGACTAGTTGGAGGCCTGTAGATTGTTCTTTGTCCTTTGCTACTTGATGTAATGTTCTGTTGCTGTAACTGATAAAGATAATAGCTTAAGCAGGATGAAAGTTAATTCTTTTTCAATCACCAAGAGCCTGGTCTGACCCCTGTGTCAGCAGCCCGTGTCCGTCTCTGTACATCTTGGTGCTTCCCCCATCCATTTCCTCAAGCTCCAGCTGCCCGTGTTATATGGGAATTTTTCAGTCCTGAGAAAACAAGAGAAACCATCTTTTTTTTGGGGGGGGGGAGGGCCCAGTCGTGGGGCCTGAACTCTGGGCCTGGGCACTGTCCTTCAGCTCAAGGCTAGAGCTCTACTTAAGCCACAGCGCCACTTCCAGCTTTTTTTTTCTTTTTGCTTATGTGGTGCTAAGGAATCGAACCCAGGGCCTCAGGCATGCAAGCCAAGCGCTCTACCACTGAGCCACCTTCCCAGCCCCTCTTTTTTTTTTTTTGGCCAGTCCTGGAGATTGAACTCAGGGCCTGGGCACTGTCCTTGAGATTCTTTTGCTCAAGGCTAGCACTCTACCATTTGAGCCACAGTGCCACTTCTGGCTTTTTCTGTGTATGTGAAGAATCTAATCCAAGGCTTCATGCATGAGCACTCTACCACTAAGCCACATTTCCAGCCCAAGAAACCATCTTTTTTTTTTTTTCCCTCGGTCGTGGGGCTTGAACTCTGGGCCTGGGCGCTGTCCCTCAGCTCTTCAGCTCAAGGCTAGCGCTCTACCACTTGAGCCACGGTACCACGTCCCGTTTTCTGGTGGTTCATTGCAGATAAGAGTCTCACGGACTTTCCTGCTGGGGCTGGCTTTAAACCTCCATCCTCAGATCTCAGCCTCCTGGGTAGCTTAGATTACCAGTGCCTGGCAGCCGGATTTCTTACCCAGTTCCCTTTCCTTGAGCCTCCCTAGTCTTGGTCATAATTGTTAAGTAGCCACCTGGGGGCAGCAGCACACCACCCAGCTGCCGCGAGCCAGGGAGTGAGTAGTTCCAGTTGCTCTCCCTGAGACTCCAGAGGACTTCATTTCCCAGATAGCCGTGTGACATGCTCCACATTTTCTCTCTCTCTTTCTCTCTCCCCCTCTCCCTCTCTCCCCCCCCCTCTCTCTCCCCCCTTCCCTGTCCCTTTCCCCTCCTCTCTCCCTCTCCTTGGTCTAGCTATCTTCCTGTGACACAAGGACTTATAGGAAATGGAGGTGGCTGAATGCTGGGCAGTGGGCGGTACTGCAATTGGATGACAGTGGTGATTGTGTGGTGCCGGGAGCGCTGTGGAAACCACAACAGGGTTTTTTGTTTTATGGTTGGGACAGAGCCCCATTGTGCGGCCCAGGCTGGCCTTAATCCTCTCGCCTCAGCCTCCTGAGTGCTGGCATTTAAGCCTGTGCCACCATGTCAGACTACAAGCTATATATAATTAATTCAACAAACAGTTTTGAGAGTACCCATCAGGCAGCCACTAGGTGAGTGTGGTTACAGGACAGGACTTCCTAAAAGAAGAGACTGGGAGCCGGGCGCTGGTGGCTCACACCTGCCATCCTAGCTACTCAGGAGGCTGAGATCTGAGGATCGAGGTTCAAAGCCAGCTGGGCAGGAAACTCCGTGAGACTCTTATCTCCAATAAACCACTAGAAAACCGGAAGTGGCGCTGTGGCTCAAGCAGTAGAGCACTTGCCTTGAGCTGAAGAGTGCAAGGACAGCACCCAGGCCCAGAGTTCAAGCCCCATGACTGACCAAAAAAAAAAGAGACTCGGGAGCCTACACTCAAGTCTGAGTAGATGAAGGCAAAAAAATTTAAAAAGTAAAGCCAGGTGCCGGTGGGCTCATGATTTTAATCTAGCTACTGAGGAGGCTGAGATCTGGCGATCACAGTTCAAAGCCAACCTGGGCACAAACATCTGTGAGACTTTTTTTTTTTTTTTTTTTGTAGGTCGTGGGGCTTGAACTCTGGGTCTGGGCGTTATCCCTCAGCTCTTCAGCTCAAGATGAACGCTCTACCACTTGAGCTACAGCGCCACTTCCGGTTTTCTGGTGGTTTATTGGAGATAGGAGTCTCACGGTCTTTCCTGCCCGGGCTGGCTTTGAACCACAATCCTCAGATCTCAGCCTCCTGAGTAGCTAGGATTACAGGCGTGAGCCACTTGGCACCCAGCTTCCATGAGACTCTTATCTCCAGTTAACCACCAGAAAACCGGAAGTGAGAGTTGGGAATGGCCAGGTGGTAGAGTGCTTGCCTAACATGCATGAAGCCCAGGATTCAATTCCTCAGTACCACATAAACAAAAAAAACTGGAAGTGGCGCTCTGGCTCAAGTGGTAGAGGGCTTGCCTCGAGTTGAAGAGCTGAGGGACAGTGTCTAGGCCCAGAGTTCAAACCCCACAACTGACAAAAAAAATTAAAAAATAAAATTAAAAAATAAAAGTGGTTTAGACAGAGGTCACAGCTTAGGCAAATGCCTGAAGATGAGCCACAAGACAAACTTCTCTGTGTGGCAGGAAAGGGTGTGGCAAGAAGGGAATCCGGGTTAGTCATCATCAAATAAGTTCTCACTAGCCAAGCCCAGGTTCTGACCTGCTCCTGCCATTCTCTATGACCCTGCCTTTCAGAGCCTCCCTTTTCTGTCCTGTTACACCTGGATTTCTACATAGGCATATAAAGCAGTTGCCTGGCATGGCCCCAGCAAGCCCTGGGGATACACTAGCTGCAATTGTACAGTCTGCATTTATCTTGTTATTTGAACTATTGTAATTATCATATCAATTATATTATGAAAAATCACTGCATAAGAATAGTTGGTTAAAAGGACTGACTAGGGAGTCTGGCTGCCTGGCTTCACTTCCATTTTTTATCTACAAACAGATGATAAAGAGCACCCAATAGGGTACCAGTGGCTCACACCTGTAATACTAGCTAAAATCTGAGGATTAAGGTTCGAAACCAACCCTGGGCAGGAAAGACTATAAGACCCTTATCTCCAATAAACCAGCCAAAAGCCAGAAATGGCAGTGTGGCTTAAGTAGTAGAGCCCCAACCTTGACCTGAAAAAGGTTGACAGTGAATGGCCAGGCCCTAAGATCAGATCCCGGTACCATTATAAAAATAAACAGCACCCATTCCACAGGGCTGTTATGGAGACAAATGCTGTGATCTGTGGGACATGCACAGGAAAGGAAGGCAATATTATCTGAGGATGCCTAAGTCAGCCCCCCTGAGGAGTTTAGGTGGGCCCTGAGAACAGCTTTGGTTTACTAAGCATGTATTACCTAATTCTAAGTGATAAGGCATACTAAGTGGAGGAGCAAGCCACGGGAATATTATCGCACAAGTTCCTGTTTTGGGGTCAGAGCCAGGATTCAGCCTGAAGCCTGTGCTCCCCAAGGAGACCCACCAAAGACGAAGCTAGGAAAAGAACAGGGAGCACAGATTGCACGTCCAAATTGGAAGGCAAAGGCAACTGCCTTGTCCTGGTGCTTGCTTCTGGGACCTCGGGATGTCTGGGCCAAGGGACTTTTCGTGTATCCCGGGCTCTCTTTGGAGTGTGGAAGACCCCACACCTGGAGGCCCAGCGAAGATGGGGGTAGGGAGAACGTGGCTCCCTAAGCTTCCATCCAGATCCTGCAGAGGACAGGGAGACCGTGTCCTTGCCACAAATGCATCCTCTCCCCTTCCCAGCCTGGAAACAAATGGAAATGGGTGCCCGAGGGTACTGTGTGTCTCTATACGGCAGGGAAGAAGAGGCCGCTTACTGAGTCCCTTGTAGGGCGGCCGGTAAACCGCCACCTGAGGCAGGTGGAGACAGCCACAGGGTGACACTTCACAGGGAGGCACCAGAAGTGTGTCTTCGCAGCTCTAGTTTCCCAAGCCTGGCCATTTAGGCCAGGATGGTAAAGCAAAGGTGGAACGAAGCCGAGCGGGATTTGAACCAGCAACCTGGGAATGATTCAGACAGCCCTAGTCTCCCAATTCCGTGACGGGGGCGGGGCCGCCGCGCGCAGGCGCAGTCCCGGGGGCCGGCGCTAGGACCGAGCGGAGCCCCGGGCCGAGGCCGG